TCTAACATTAAGTTAAAACAAGGCTAGGCCCCGGCTGGTATGGGTCAGTGGATTGAGTGCCAGCTGAGTCCCCAACTGGGGGCACGAGGCAACCCATCAATCTCTCTCTCATACATCAATGTTTGTCTCTCCTTCTCCCTACTTTCTTCTTTCTCTAAAAATAAATACAGTTGTAAAGAAAAAAAAAAGATTAAAAATGTTTTTAATAATTTACATCAAAGGATGTTTAATAAGTCCAGAATAATACACCACTGTCCACACTGCAGGATTTGGCAAAGTAGGTTTACAGTTGTTCATACGGAAAAATATGTAATACAAGAACTGTTTCATGTACTCACAACTGTAAACCTCCTTTTGTCCAGCCCTGTGTGTCTTTCAATATATTGTATCAATGTTGAAAGAATAAAATTGAAGTATTTTATACATCTTAGAGTTTAACAGTTACTATGACACAAATTTAAATGTACTTTAACTTGTTGCTTTCAACAAGTAATTTCTACATTGGAACATTTATATTTCTCCTAACTGAAAAACTCTCCATGAAATTACCAATGGACTTTCATTATCCATTACTAAACTGGGGAGAACACACATATTATTAGTAAACAGTTCATGTCTTATACATGTTTGCATGAATTATAGCAAATGCTGGTAGTGTGCATTACCCAACAATTCATACCTGACTTTCGTTTTCTTTCCCTTGACCTTGACCGTGATCTTGAATAATGATGTTTTGAAGCTCTAGGAGAAACAGATACATCTGGCTGCTCTTTTTTCTTATCTCTATCTGGGGATGTCTTTTCGGGGGCTAGTCCATCACGTTCTGTATCACTAGCCTAAAAGTTTCAAGAAAAATGATTGGAGAGTCTTAATTACATTGAAAATATTACCAATTTCTTAAAAAACAGGGTGGGAAGGAAAAATAGCCATCCTAGGATTTTAAAAAATAAACAGGTTAATCAATAAACCAGAATGGTTTATTTCCAGATAGCTCAATATGCTTTGTACCTGATAAATAGGCCTGAATAAACCCAAATGACTAACCCAATACCAAAGACATATGGAACTAGACAAATGTATCTTTATTTTTTAAATTATTATTTTAAAACTTTCAAAGCAAGGGGCTAAGAGGGGAAAAAAGGGACTCAAAGTCCAGTAAACATTTCAAGCAGAAAAAAGTCCATTTTAAATTTGTGAATTCAAGTAGCCAACCTCACCAACACTTTTTAAAAGGCAAAAGATTTATACGATCTGAAGAGAAACCAGAGTATCATCATCACTTTTTAAACGAGCCATTAAAGGTGAAAGAGACTCATGGTCCAGCCAGGGAGCTCAGTTAGTTAGATCCCTGTCAGGGCAGCCACGAATGTGTAAGTTGGAACAAACAAATCAATGCCCCTTTCTAGAAGTCAATTAAAAAAAGTTAAACTCATGACTGTAAAATCTTAAAACAGCTTTTGAAAAAAGTAACAGGAAATTAACTCACCAATCCAAAAGCCCAATCTTAATTTCACCAATGGTCTTTAATGAACACAGCCCTTTGCTGCAAAATAAGGTCTGTGTCTCCTTGCATATGCTCTGGGCTATGGAAACATTAAGTTGTTTCTGCTTTAAAGCAGTTTGTAAGTTATCACAATATACACTTTAAAAAAAATTAAAAGTCAAACCAAGTGTACACACTGTTCCCCAGAGGCCTGATTTCCCCCCAAGGGCAGGCTCCTCCACCTAAACTTCACTGCCCTGTTTTCCAGGTCACAGAAGGCAATCTCTCGGGCCTTGCTCACTGCCTCTTGCGTACTCAGCACAGAATGTTTGATAAGAAATGAGTTCTAGCTACTAGTTTTCCATTAAAAAATATATCTGTGACTCTGCTTAACTGTGTGGTCCAAATTACAAAAAACTTGAGTATCGCAAAGGAGGAAATTGATTTAAGTGAGTCATGGAATAGTTCCTATGTCTGGGCAATTGATTCCTTAGGACAGATGCTGGCTAAATAGGGTCCTTGAGCTGAGAATACATTTTACATTTTTAAAAGGGTTGTCAAAGTGAGTGGACAAGCAAGTCCACCAACAAGGACCATGAGAGACTCTACCTGGTCCACAATACCTAAAATATTTGACCCTGCTGTTCAGAGAAGGTGGCTGAAATGGATAAATGGGGAGTCATACATAGGAAAGGGTGCATTATTTCAACTACTTACTGACTATAAAAATGTGCCAAACTCCACACTAGACTCCAGGAATAAAATGGTAAATTAAATGGGAAGGATTTATAGGCTAGATGGGATTAGAGACATAAATTATGTGTTAACAATGGTACACCTACCGCCCAAACATTAAGCAGAAGAAGGAGGTAACTAAATACTGGAGAGGCTCATTCAAGCACACTCCCCCCACCTGCCGTTTTCTATGTATGAGTGATTTCTGGAATCATAAATTTTTGCGCTGAAAGGCTTCATTTCTTAGAATTGTGTTTAACTTTTTCATTTTATAGATGAGATCCAGCTACATTAGCTGACTCACCTAAGATGGTACTCTTCACCATCTATTAATAAGTGATGCTGTAACCAACAATTGAGGGTGATCCTTCTTTTCACAACATAGGTTCTTTTATTTTTGTTCTTATTATTCTTAAAGGCTATTTCAGCTGTATCTATGATGCACTAAGGGTTGGCAAAGCTTACCCTTCGCGCAAACTTGAAGCCCTGCTCTCGCCTCTCGCAGTGCATGCCGCACCAGGAGAGCATTTCAGAACCACCAGCACATCTATTCACTTTTATAGAGACCACAGCTAGTACTGAAAATAACCTTTGCATGGAAAAACCAACATGTAGCCAGGCATTAAGTTTAGTCAGTGGCTTACTTCCCTGGTATATGCTTAGCATCACCGAAGAATGGCGACAGGGAAGTCAAATGCCCTGGGCTCAAGGGAAGCTACCCTGCCCTAGAGTCACACCTAACAGCCACCCTCATCTGTAAAACCACACCAGACGAGAACCACTCTATCACTCAACATATATGAACGACAGGTGACCACGTGGCTCACACAAAACTTTTGTATCCCCCCATCAACTGCATATTAATGTTTCTCTAAAAATTTCTAAGCATCACTTTGATTTAGAAAGGTCCTCTCTATAAAGACCTTAAATGCCTGCTGAAACTACCGTGCACACCAGCATTTGCTCAACTGGAAGGCCACCACTGTTTCTTAAAATGTGTATCTGGTTTAAAACCCTAAAATGCTCAAGACATAGACTACAAATCTTTTTCCAGTGCAGAGAAGGTAGCTGGATTTAATACTAGGCCACCCCCCCCCCGGAATTGTGTCTTTTTATTAAGGAGGAACTGCAGAAACCAATGTTTGAGTTGCCTTTAAAAATTTGAGTGCAAGTGAAAAATACTTTTTTTTTTACTTTTAAAATATATTTAAAGCTCAGAACACTAAACAAAGGAAAACATTAAACCGATTAGTTGCATAAATACCAAATAGTATGCCAGCTGTTTGAAACCTTCTTTAAAGAAAGCAGATCCTAAATTCAACCAATCCGTTATGGGGGTGCGGAGGACCATCCTTTGTGATTTCTATTACCCCCAAATATTAAAACACAGTGAACCAGCTATTTTTTCAATGTTTACCACTACGATTTGCTTTTGAAAATGTGAAATCTTTTTGGTTAGTAGGAAGGAAAGCAGAATGCCTGCATTTTTCTTTTAACAGGATTAAGTATCAATGAAGTAATCACAAAACAACGCAATTCATCAGATTTGGGCATGAGGTTTTGCCTAAAGCAGCCTTGTTGTTCATATCATTTAAGAACTGTAATTCTTACTTAAGTTAAGTGGGTCACCGAAAGCTTCCTACATTTAAGGGAAAAACGCCAAAAATAGGACTGGATTAAAGCTTCCACAAGACCTCAATTTTATTACATCACGAGCCGCTCCGGAAACGTAGCATCATTTGGTTGGTTCCAAATGCTTCTAATGAATTCTAATTTTTACTCCTTTTCACCAACACATTCCCCAGTACCCCACTAAGAGGTATTAATCGAAATTATGCAACTAGACTCATTTTATTGAACGTAAGCAAAGCCAAATTGGTACAAGAGTAAAACTGCTCTTTTCTTATCTCTTTCTTATCACATTCTATGCCTTGCAGACCCTTTTTTTTTTTTTTCGTCAATACTCTCCAAAAGACCCGGATCAGTTTTCTCTTCCCCACCGCAATCATATTCCCAAAACCTAACGTAACTCCACGTAAACCACTAACGAGAGGGAGTAACCTCAACTGAAGGCAGGTCTGTGGGCCGAAAGGTACAGAGCTGGGAAACAGAAGAGGAAAGTTCTGGAAATAAAAAGACACTCCTTGCAGCTCCCCACCCCCACCGACACCGCCTTGGTCCCCCTCCCTAGAGCAGGAAGCCATGATGGCGGGCGCAGAAGAAGGCCGCGACGCCATTTTGTCCACACCAGCGCGGAGAACAGCTCGAGGAGCCGTTCACGCAATCTTGGCGAGTAGCAAAAAATAAATAAAAAAATAAAAATACCCCTGGCCTCAAACTCAGATTCGGCACCTACCGCCATAGTCCAGAGTCCTGGCCGCTAGAGCGGCGCCTCTATTTGCGGCTCTCAACAGTACAGATCGCCCTGACGCTTCGCCACAGACTAAATGGCTCAGCTAAGAGACCCGGATGGCACAAAGGGGATGAGGCCAGGCACGTCGCACAGCTTGCTGGGAGGAAAGGGGCTTCTGTGAAGGCCTTCTATAGCAACGCGGTTCGTGGCAGTGATTGGTTGTTCTTTTGAAGAGGGCGTGTAAAGCCAGGGGGGAGGGGCGGAGCCAAGAATACACCCACGATTGCGCAGCCTGGCGACCGGAAAGGATGGAATTTAGGGTGGAGCGACTTCCTATTTCGAGTCTATATCAATCTTGGCCTTCTCCGGCCGCCGTAAAAGGGGTTGGTCTTGGTCTTCTCCCGCCAATTTAAATATAGGCTAGAACCTGAAGATTAGAGGCGGTTGGGGGGAGTCGGAAGGAGGGGCGGTCAGTTTACGTGTTCCGCTTTAGTTTCTTCAATTGCAGGTGAGTTACGCTGCTGTAGGAAGGTGGGAGTGAGTTGAGGTCTAAATAGCAGCATCCTTAGAACAGTTCTGGGTATTTTCCCTTCAAGACCCTGTTGGGAGAAGTTGGAGTGGGTTCTTGCTGGCCCCAATTCCAACAGAGCGCTTGTGTGTGGTGGTGTAGTTGATATTGTTTCTTTTATTTCTATTCTTGAGGGAGAGAGAGAAACATGGACTTGTTGTTCCACTTATTTATGCATTCATTGGTTGATTCTTGAATGTGTCCTGACCCGGGATCAAACCTGCAACCTTGGTGTCTGGGGATGTCGTTCTAACAATCTGAGCTACCTGATACTGTTTCATTTGTGCGTAATTCTGTCGCTAATCTACTCTCTAGCCAGCAGCCAGAGTGATCTCAAGTCGTTAATCAAATCATGTCTCTCATCTGTTTAGTATCTTCCCCCTCACGCTCAGGATATACCCGACCTTGATTGAAGTCGAGGATTCTTTTAGCCCCAGCACCCTTCCACTCTTGCTATGGCTCGGCAGCAGCCTGGAACTCGCCCCAGCCTCTGAGCCTTTGCATTCCTGTACCCACTGAGCTTTGCATAGTTGGTTTCTTGCTATTTGGTCCCCGCTCAGACATCGCCTTCCCTTCCCACGCAGGTTCTCCTTAAACGACCCTCCGGGCCCCTTAGCACTGTTTCGTTTGCTTTGAAACATTTCAGTGTGTGATTATTTGTGCATTTTCTTATTTTTTCTCATAGTGTAATAGTTATTAGCTGCCATGAATTTGAGTTTTCTTGTCTAGCTACCTCATTTACTTGCTTTAGGTGACCTCGGCCATTTATTTAACCTCAGCTGTAAAATGGGCTGTTGTGTACACTAAATGAGTAAAGCATTTCAAGCTACCTTGCTTGTTAACATATACTCAATACATGTTAACTATTCTATGTTGGTCCCTCCTACAAGGGTACTAACTTCATAGTGACAAAGATCTCTGCCTTCACTGATTCCTAAAAGGATTCACTCCCTCCCTCCTGTCTTAATCTCACAACTCCCACCCAAGCACCAGCCACTAAAACCATCGTCTGTTCTGCGATGCTTTGATTCTGTGCCCTTGCTTACGCTCTGGGTAAGAACTCTTTTCCTCTAATCACTGTTGTCCACCTGAAACTAATACAACATTGCGTACCAACCACAACTGACACATAAAAAATTCCTGTGATCTTAATCCACTAGCCCAAATATTACTGCTGTTGCTTCTTCCAACAGCAATAATAAATTCTCTAGCCCTTACAATTGAGTGCTGGCCAGGAACCAAGAATTGGTTTGTGAACATTTAAAACTCATAACTTTTCAGGAGGGTACAACGATCTTCTTGTTCCATGGTTTAGGGAATTGAGAAGCAAAGATTAAGTTGCTTGCTAAAGGGCCAGCAAATGTGAAAGAGCAAAAGTCTAAAATTGTCCCTTCCATAGATTTTAAAACATACCGTGTTAGCAGTTATCAGAACAACTGTTAATTAATCGGTTATGGTTCCCCACCAGCCTTAAAGTTTTCATCCAGGGATCGTTTTTTCATTTTTTATCTTAACATTTTACTTTCAACCAGACCACATATAAAATGAGTTTATAAATCTTTGTCGATGAAGTGGTTAAATGACTCTCCTACGGTTACAGGTATACTCTTTGGTCCAGTCAGAAACCTAATCCACATTCTTTCCTCCTCCCCTTAACATTTTCATTTCTTGTGCTACACTGGGAACATTAATGAACTTGTTTGTAAACTTCATTGGGAACCTTCCCATCCTAAGGTATCCCAGACATTCTGACGTCAGAGCTTTTGCTGTTTGTTGCTATACTGATTAAAGATTTATTTCAAATGAGAACTTGTTATCATTTCAAGTTAGGCACACAAAATATTAGAAACTCTGGGACACATTGGTCAGATCAGAATTGTGTTTCTAAACAATTACATTCTTACCTTGTGATAATTGGAGCTATAGTTCCATTTATCCGGATTGGTCCAAAGTATCTTTGTGACTACAGAAAAAATAGGACGATAGGGAAATCTTTACTTATTGATATATATTTTGGATAAAGCCTTGTTATTTCCTAAGAAATTAGATTTTCTTTAACAATATAAATCGGTTTCTAATTTTGCATCTCGCCACAGGGAAGGCAGTGATTCCCGAATTGGGAGAACAGTCTCAGCAACATGTGGAATGATATTGAGCTACTGACAAGTGATGACACAGGAAGTGGGTACCTAAGTGTTGGATCCAGAAAAGAACACGGAACTGCTTTATACCAAGTAGATTTGCTAGCAAAGATCTCCTCCGAAAAGGTAATGACTTTGATGCTGTTTTTACTCACACAATTTTTACTGTGTTTAGTAGGCCTAGAAGCTACCTGGTGTTTTGTGAATGAACATAGCACTTTCTCAGGTAATCAAGGTTCAGTCTCAAATTATTGGAAATTTCCATCTGAATTCCCCTTACATTAACCTAAGATTTGTGTTTCCCAAACTGAACTTTTACACATGGGGAAGGAAGAAATAAAACTGTCTTTGTTCTCACATGACATGATTGTCCACATCAAAAATCCAAACAAATTGACAAAGAAACTACTGGAATAATAAGTGATTACAGCAGGGTGGTGGGGTACAAGGCGAATATGCAAAGTCAGCAGCTTCCCTGTATGTCAGCAATGAACAAGGGAAATTTGTTTTTAATCCTCCCTGGAGGATACTTTTTCATTGTCCTTAGAGAGAGAGAGGAAGGGAGAGAAACATTGATTTGAGAGAGAAGCATTAATTGGTTGTCCCTTGAACATGCCTGGATTGGGTATTGGAACCACAACATAGGTAAGTGCCCTGATTGGAATCGAACCTGCAACCTTCCGATTATGGGCTGGTGCTCCAGCCCACTGAGCCACACCATACAAGAGTATAAAGAAAGGGTCAGGATGGGGTGGAGTTTTCAGGGATTACACCTGGAGAATGTGGCCATTGAAGAAGGCAGGAAATGAACTGATTGGCTTACAAAACTCTCCACAAAAGCCAGCATTGTAGGTATTGTTGTTATTATCACCATCATCATCCCTATTTTATAGCAGAGTCAGGCGAGACATTTGCCCAAGGTCACTCAGCTAGTGAGTACCTGGGTGTTTCAGCCACCAAGCCTCCCGGCTACTTCAAGATACACATGGGTGGGAAGCTCTCATCAACAGGAACTGAAAACAAGATTCATATTTGGCTTGCACAGTGCTCTTTAAAATGTTGACTTAGCTGCCAGTATTTAAAAACCAGAACATTTCACATAAAGATGCAGCTTTTCTTGATAAATTGGAAGGTGTGGCCATGCTAGGCATTCCAAGGGGATTTAGTGAGTTATGTAAGGGCAGGTACCCTCCAGTTCACGATTCGCTACAGTCCACCTCCCGGTGGTGCTCCAGACACAAACCTGATGTCAGTCTTGGGTCATTTGTGCTAATGCCTGCGGGCTCCTGCGGGCATAAGACTGACCTTAGGAAATCGAGACTTGTATGTAGAAATGCTTTGCCCTTTCCTAGCAGTCCTGGACTTTCCCTATTTTAGACTCTGAATGGATTCAAGATACACCCTGCAAAGGAAAACTTGACTACTTAGACACATGGGCTAAAGAGAAGAGTATCAAGTTCTACACTTGGGTGCTTGGGACTGTGATACTGTGGACTGTGATCAGTGTTGTTAAGCATGTGTGAAAATGTCTTATATTCGTCCTGCTTTTTCCTCCCACAGGCCTCATTAAGTCCGAAGATACAAGCATGCAGCTTAAGCGACGGGTTTATTATCGTAGCAGACCAGACAGTGATACTGCTCGACAGTGTCTGTAGATCGCTTCAGCTGCACCTGGTATTTGGTACGTCTAACACCCTGGAAAGCAGTAGGTGGATTGGAAGTCAAGTATTTGCTGCCAGTTTCTGCCGCATTGCCATTTCTTCGCTCCATTACTTCTAAGACTTGAAATTGGACTAATTTCAATAAATTAATCTTGAGTGCCTTTTTTAATGCTGAGTATCTAGATTCAGGATGCTGGGCTGACCCCTTCTCAGTAGGTCTAAGGGGAAACACATGTAAAGCGACCATTTACTTGCATGGCTTTTGTAAATATCAGAATAACCACTTGGGCCCCCTTGTGTTCAAGCACCTGAATCTTGTACATAATTTCAGTATCATCAGATATCTGGATACTTTTAGAAAGCAGAACACTGTAAAAAGCTTTTTAATTATAAATTCATCATTGAGTTAAAGAGCTTTAATTATATGCAAATATGGCCTTAAGGGTAAATTAAGAGACTAGTGAGTAATTGTGCTGGAAAACAGTGAAAATATTGTGAAAGCTTTTCCTGCCATTTTGAGAGGAAGATGGTTGTTGAAGTATTTGTGTAAGAACTCCAACAACTGAAAAGAATCAAGCTATGTGTGTGAGAACACAGTCTTGATCACGCTGTGGAGGCAAGATGCCCATATTTTGTGGAATCTCAGCCTATCCACCTGGATGGGTCCACAAAATTCAGTTTCACTAACACAGTAGTGGGCTGTGTTATCCGATACATTTGTATAAAGGTGTTGTCGCTGAATGATTTCCATTCCTACACCATTTATCAAGCACAGCTTTTACCCCTCCCCCTCTCAGCCTCCACTGCGCTCCCCGCAGGCCTCTTGCTGCTGTGCTGACAGTGACTTTACGTCCTTCAGGTCCTTGCTCGCTCGTTGCTCTTGTCTCACCTTGTCAAGGATGGTGGTCCTGAGCACCCTGGCTCTCTGCAGGACTCTCTCCCTGCTCCACTTTTTCTTTTTTTCCAGAGAGTTTATCACCTTCTTACATGTCATGTAGTTTGTTTACTGTGCTCATGTTTGAATTGTCTGTTACTGCCTTAAAATTTGAGCTCCATGAAGGTGGGACCCATAGCCTCAGACATGTGTGCAGAAGGCCTAGAGCAATGCTTGGTGCAGAAGCGCTCGGTAGTCTTGTACTTGTTGGTTGATGAAGAGTCTAGCATTCTATTTTACTTTAATCACTTTTTAAAATATGCTTAAAAGAAGCTTGGATAGTTGACTTTAAATGAAAGAATGTAGAGGTTTCTTTTGCATTGCAAATACACATTCTTTAAAGGAGGCTCATAACTTTGACTTGAAATTTTCAGATACCGAAGTGGATGTAGTCGGCCTATGTCAGGAAGGGAAGTTCCTTCTGGTTGGGGAGAGGAGCGGCAACTTGCATTTCATCCACGTGACGTCGAAGCAGACACTGCTCACCAACGTAAGACCCTGTTACGCTTCTTGCTTGCATTGTCTAAATTCTCGGTCATCTCTTAGTCACAGCTTGGGCCAACCATTGCGTGTGTTTTAAACTAAAAGAATAGTGTACCTTTACGCGAAATTTAAGGATCATACCTTAGAGACGTAGGAAATAAATAAATGCAAAGTTGTGAAAGTAAGGGTTGCAACATATTGTTAGTCTGCCTGTTCAAAACAGTTTTCTATTTTGAAACTAAAATGCTTAGAAGGAAGGCAGGATTATTGCTAATGATCATTGATAGCTCTGCGATGTTAAAGATTGTAATCCTTGATTATGTTTTTCTGGGTTTAATCTTGTTGTTTGAAATTAATTTGCAACTAGGCTTTTGTCCAGAGAGCTAACGGGGAAAATCAGTGCACTTACCGAACTCTGGTCATAGAGGAAGACAGTTCAAATGAAGGTAAGTTTTTTGACAAATTTTTATGACTCTTTGCAGAGGTTTAAAAGTACTTTTCCTAAATAGGATATTCTAAAGTAATTTTTACAGTTTTGAGAGCTCTGTAGATTACCAAGGAGACATTATGTTCTTTTAAAGTGTTTATTTTGGTAGATTCTAGCATATTTATCAGATTTTCATTTCAACAAATGTTAACTGGACCTGGATTTATTTTGATATATCTGAAGTTTCCCCCCACTCTGGGTGTGAAATCTGGTTTATAAAAGTTTCAAAGGAGTTAACATGGTTTTTGGAATCCTTTGTAAATAAACTTTAACTGTATCTTTGCTATATTATTTGATGATTAGAATTTAAATGAGCAAATGGCTATTTTTAAGCTAAGTTTAAATACTGGCTTAAATTTTATATCCATGTGCCTTTTAGAGAAACTGTCTTGATCTTACGTTAATAGGTACCTATTATATGCTGCTTCTTACAAACAATGGATTTTTTTGTATCACAAACCTTCAGCTTGCAAAAATTCAACAAGGTAAGTAAAGTGTTACTTTCATATTATTATTTTGTGGCAATATTCTTATTCTCGAAGTAAATTTTTAAGTATTCCCTTTAAAATATTATTTTAGTTTAATTACATTTTATGATAGTGGGTATACTGTTAAGTGTTGGTAATATACTTATTCTCCACTGTTAGGGCTGTAGCAGAATCTGAAGAAATGTAATTGTTTATAGCCTTCCAGGATAAACAGCTTAGCTGGGGAGACAAGACACACAGACACCATCCTAGTGATAAGTGCTTTTTGATGGAATGAATGATGAACCCAGAGACAGATAACTACATGTTAACATTCTTGTTAACATACAAACTTAGCAGTAACTTACTATGTGCTAAGCGAGTGGTGTGGCCCCTACATCCCTGTGAGCTGGGAGAGATTGAGGAGTTGGTTTGGGGCATGTATTCAACATATATCATATATATATATGATATATTTTATTAGTCATGCTATTATAGTTATCCCATTTCCCCCTTCACTACAAATATTTTTTTTGAATCTACAATTGTATGTGCCGAGAACCTGCAAGGTCCGGGGGATTCGATGAGATTTAAGATATGTGGCTCTCCGTAGCTTAACAAAAGAGCAGACAAGTCAAACAGCTCTTCCAAAACGGAGTGTGAAGTGGAGGCTTTGCGGGTCGGACTTCTGAACTTGAATAGGGAAGTTGGAGCCCGTTTCAACAGGAGACCCTCTCAGTAGGGAAGGGGGGCTCTGGAAGGACCGGAGGGCAGCCTGGCCGGTCCCCTGAGAACCACACGTCACAGTGTCTGTCGTTGATCAAGGGCCAACCGGCAGAGTGGCCAGTGTCCTTGGGGTTTCTGACCCGTGTGCTTCTGACTGGACTGTGCGTCACCTCCCCTGCCACCGGGGGCGAGTGGCGTGTGCTCTGTAGTGAGTACGATACATCCAGCTCGCTTTCTCTTTTTATGCAGCGATTGAAAACGTAGACCTGAATAAAGCAAAAAAGGTAAGAAAACGAAATTACACTGTCTTCGCAAAACGCAGAGGTAATGGAGATTTAGGAGAGTGTTTCCGGATATAACTGTCTACTGGCTGCCCTTTTGGGAATTAGCTTGATGTAACATTTTAATATCATTTCCATTTAAAAACACATGTATAATTGATTGGTTTAAAATGATTTTTGTCACTCTAAGGAATTTGGACTGCAGTGTATATGTATAACATTTTTACTTTTTAAATCTTGCAGTTGCAAGGACAAATCAAGTCCAGTTTTATTTCTACTGAAAATTATCATGCTCTTGGCTGCCTCAGTCTCGTGCCTGGAGATTTCACGAGCAGAATCCCTATGATCATCGGGGTAATAACTCTTGCTATAAAACTTTGGGTTTTGTTTCTGACATGTCTCTTCGTTAAAAGTTATAGTTTGGGGTTAGTTACAGATAAATTTGTAATGTGCAACAGAAATGGGAATTATAAAATTAAGGTCACAAATTCATAAGTCAACCTAAGTTTGTATATTGGAAAAAATATTGCATCTTTATGGTCACTAATCCTTGTCTAAAATTTATCATTTCTTTCAATTATGAGCGTGGGCAAAAACAACAACAAATACAGCATCCAATTAAGGAATAGGCAGCGATTTGATATAATTACAGCATTTACAACATCTTTCCTTGCCAAATTTATACAGGGTGGGGCCAAAGTAGGTTTACAGTCGTGAGTGTGTGGAACGGGTTCCCTGTATTATTTATTAGTTATTCTCCATACAAATAACTGCAAACCCACTTTCGCGCCTCCCTGTAGGTTAAGTTAAAGTTTACCCCGTGTCTTCAGAGTGAGTTTATTCTCCCTGAATGCACCTCCTCCTCGTTAACTCCTCACGTGACAGCGAAGAACAGCAGCGGGTCGCGGTTCTTCCCCCGCTGTCCTCTTGACAGCTATCAGAGAGAGGGACTGGAAGGTGACAGTGAGCTGGGCTCAGATGTATACGTGTGGATTCTGAATTGAGGACTGTGCAGCTGAGATGCTTCTCCTCTGAGGAGAATTCAGGTCTGAGAATCAGATCTGCCACCGATGCACTGCTGTCGCCTCTGCAGGGGACAGGGACCTGTGCGTTCTCAAAGTGGGAACCAGACCCTCTCAGAGCGATGACGGTCACGAATGTGATGGATGCAGATATTATTAAAGGTAAACGAACCTGGTGCAGCTGCTTTTGGTGATGGTCAGCGAGTTCTCACTTCACGCCGACGTGCTGAGTCTGGCACGTGGGCCGTTGTCTGAGACGAGCCACCCTGAACTGGTGGTGCTTCACATGCATGGCTGTTCTTGACACGTTACCCCGTTAGCCTTTGTGTTGGCAGTTTTTCGTGTTAGTGGTCATCTGAAAACACGGAAACAGGAATAAATGGGGATGGGAGCTTTTTGTTCATGAATATTAGTTTGCTGTCTAAATGTGGCTGTATGTGACACAGAAATATAATCCTTATGCACCTTGCTTTCTCCCCTATAGGTGCAAAGAAGTTCCAGCTGATAGACAATCTGCTTTTTGTTCTCGATACCGATGTACGTTTTTGGTATTTGTCCTGTGATGTTAGTTCTTGGTATTGTGCTTAACACCAAAAATGTTGCCAAACTGTCAAGAATACGGACCTTAGCCAGGGTGGATGAATTATTGTCTTGTGTACTATGCTTTATTTCAGTGAATGTATATTTATGCATGCCAAAAGGTAGAACCGGAAATGGAAACTTGTAGTCATTGAGAAAACATGTCAATGAGAAATGCCTCTTTTGCAGAACGTGCTGAGCCTGTGGGATATCTACACCCTAACCCCCATATGGAACTGGCCCTCTCTTCACGTGGAAGAGTTTCTTCTTACCACGGAAGCAGAATCGCCTTCTTCAGTCACGTGGTACATTATGATACTAGTAGCGATTGCCCTTCTGTGAGGACCAGGCTTCCTACCTGGTTCCGATCTGATCATTCAGTGTTGCCTCCTCAGTAGCACTGGGAACAGACTGACGGGGTAAAGACCATTGCACTGTTGGCCAGATTTGCTGAGAAGAGACAATACCAACCTTCCAGTGATTGTGTTGGAGTGTCAGTCCAAAATAAATAAATAAATAAGCAAGCAAACAAGCCAAGTTCAGTCTTGCTTGATGCATGCATCCAGATTTAAAACTCACTCAAAAAAAAAGTGTCAGTCTGGGTCATAACTGTGCAGAAGTCAAGTTCAGTGTCATCTGTGTGTATCAGTTTTCACTTTTATACAAGACTATCGCTTTGACTTAGCTTATATCTAGCAATTGGCAAATCTTACTTGATTCACTTAAAACATCTTCTCTCTTCTAGGCAAGGGATTACCAACCTCAAATTAGTAGCTCTGACAACTACTGCTAATAAGGTACTGGAACATTTGTCTCACGTGTGCCCGCACTGCGTGTTAGAAACAGCGTCAGTACGAAGGCAGGTGTCGGGTGCTGCTCGCAGCGTGTTGGCTCTGAGGTCCGGCAAACGCCTGATGAGTCACAGACAACCTTGCAAGAGGTCTTTTTTTCCCATCTTAAAAATATGGGTAGAAGCCTCGACTCCGCCTTTTAATCAGAGCATAATCGGAGCACTATGGAATAAAGAAGTCCACAAGACAATGTTTATTAAAGTGATGCTTAAATAGTTTGACACTGAGGAATTACCTTTACCTTAACTACAATGTGTAGGATGGACTAGAGGTGTGTGGATTTTTGTTCAACAGCTTTGGAAAGTGGACCAGAACATAATTTTACGTGAAACATATAAGCAACGCCAGGGCAGACTTACCTATAAAACAGTTGACGCGTGCCGCTGTGCACCAGGGGTGGTGACCTGTGCCCTTGAATGTGAGGTGTCCACTTGTGCTCGGGGGATCATGCTGACCTGCTGAATTCATTGCTCTGCCTTTTTTTTTAGATGAAAAACCTCATGGTCTATTCACTGCCTATGATGGAAATACTCTACTCTTTGGAAGTGTCTAGTGTTTCTTCTCTGGTGCAGACAGGAATTAGCACAGTAAGTTGATGTATATTTTGAACTACCTTAAAAAATTAAGACTAACTAAGCTAAGCACGAGTGCGATTTTACTGAAAAACCTGGATAGATCACGGGTTTGTAACTGTGTTGTCAGATGTCCTCAAATACACTTGGCCCGAGGTCAGTCTTTATTTCAAAAAAAGAAAAGAAAAATAAATAAAATGTCAGCCAACTGCACATTTAAATTTTCTTGTATCTCCGCAGGAAATTTAAAAGATAATTGGGGGGAAGGGGTTATTGCTTTCATTTATTTTATTTTTAACCTTGAGCTTAAAATTTTTTTTTACTTTGTTTCATGTCTTTTTACACCCACACTATATTTTTTCCAAACCAGTTAAAAGGGAATTGCTGACTCCGTGAACTGTCACCCCTGAACTCTTTAATAGGCATCTCCTAAGAACAAGAGCCTTCTCCTACAACACAGTTATCACACTTACAAAATTTAACTATTGTGAAATATACCGTCTGAATTCAAAATTATCAAGTGTCACAAAGCTATGTTTTTAAACTATGTGTTTTTGTTTTTTTTCCTCCTGATCCAAGCATCATGTAGCCAATTTCATTGCCATGGTCACGTGGCAGTCTGCTTAAGTCTGGAAGAGTTCCCTGGTCTCTTTGTCTTCTAAGACATTGACATATTTTGAGCCCTAAGCTTTGGTGTTACAGAATCTCTCTCTGTTTGGATTTGTTTGTTCCGTCATGATTAGGTTCATGCCGATCTTTTCTGGCAAGAATACTGCGCAGGTGTGTAACACTGTGTCCTAACTGCATCCCAGTAAGGGGCTCACTTCCGCTGTCCTGCATTGGGGATGTCACATTTAGCTGCGTGGTTAGCGCAGCTGTGAGATGTCACACTGTGAAGGCGCATTTTCCCCCGTGTAATTAGTAGGTGATTTCTCTGGTGTTATTTTGAGACGATGGGAACATCCTTTTCTCCAACAGTTTTCCCAGTGATTTTAGAATTCCGTTGTTAGGTCATTTCTTCCTAAACCAGTTGTTACTCTAGTAACTATAAAATGAGTTAATTCTGTATTTCGATTGCCTTAAGCATGTCTCGTCATTGCAGGACACCATATACCTTCTGGAAAGAATATGCAGAAATGATACAAAGTAGGTCACGTTTTGTTTTATCAGATAAGCTGTTAAATAAAAGCTAAGTTAAAATTATCAATACTCACTGGCAAGTGTACTTAAGAGGGATGACTTACTTTTCAGTCTGTCTGAAGATGCGGCCTCTGTTTTAGTGCTCAGATGTCTTACAGAAGCTTTACCAGAAAACAGGTAACTTCTCATTTTCTTTTAAGCCTCACTCCTTAATTTAAAAGTTCAGTTCCCCGGTTAATAAAGATTTTACGGGAGTTTTTTTGACTGTCACAGGTTGAGTCGGCTGCTTCACAAACACAGATTTGCTGAAGCCGAGAGCTTTGCTGTTCAGTTTGGACTCGATGTGGAGGTAATCACTCAGGAGTTTATCTGTTCATTGAACAAGCATTTTCTTCGCGTACTAGATGCTAGGAGACGGCATTTTAAAAAAAGACTTCATTTACTTTTCAGAGAGAGGGGAAGGGAGGGAGAAAGAGAGGGAGAGAAACCTCAATCAGTTGCCCCTCCCACGCTCCCAACCCGGGGTCTGGCCGGCAACCCAGGCACATGCCCTGACCGATCCAGCCATCATTTTAGTTTTTGAGACCACACTCAACCCACGGAGCCTCACCAGCCAGGGTGAGAGATGGCATTTTTTGCTTTAAGCTATTTGATGTGGCCTATTTATTTTACAGCTTGTGTACAAAGTAAAAGCAAATGATATATTGGAGAAACTGGCTTTGAGTTCTGTGGACACCAGTGAGCAGACCGAATGGCAAAAGCTTATAGATGAAGCTAAGGAAAATCTCCATAAAATCCAGGTGTGTTCTCCCTCCCATGTGCTAGAGTGTCCCGACAGACAGCCGGACCGATGAAAGGTCACTGTACTATGTCTGGCCTTTATGAAACAGGACGACGAATTTGTGGTGAATTACTGCTTGGAGGCCCAGTGGATAACCTATGAAACAACGCAGGAAATGCTGAATTATGCCAAAACCAGGGTGAGTTCTTATAGCATTTATTTAGACGAGTGAGTTTATCTTATGCAAAACAAATCATCTAAAAAAATGAATTCTTTTTCCATCATAGGCCTTTTAAAGGTGCATTTTTTTTTTTTACTGTAGATTGCCCCCCTCGCTGACCTGGCAATACCATTGATAGTTAAAATCCTTAACTAAGTCCTTAAAATCAAGGCATAACAGATGGGACCAGTGTTGTGAGCTTTATTTTTCCCCCCCATAAAATGCATTTTTAAAGATAAATTATTTCTTTATTCACTTTTTATCTCAGAGTTCAATGCAATTTTATTTTTAGAGATAATTTTTCCTTGAATTCACAAAAATACTCCTTTGATGTAAAAACCAATATAGCAGATATTCTAACCGTGTTTCTTGTTGTTCATCTTAGCTTTTGAAGAAAGAAGATAGAACTGTTCCTGCCTACTCTTACGGCTTAAAGGAGGTAACTCGGTGATGTTCATAGGTTGCTTTAGGGGTGCATACACCTTTGCAGTACAGTCGTGCACCCCTTCACAACGGGATTCGTTCTGAGAAGTGTGTGGTCCAGTGGTGGTGTCGCTGTGCAAACATCAGAGTGCACTTACACACCCAGTGGCCCAGGGGCAGCTCAGGTCGTGCTCCCCAGCCCATGTTGTCGGTGTGGCTCAGACTCTTATAAACACGTGTTTCAAAGGCCCTGGATGTACAGCCTGCCACACACACACCGAGGCCATGTAATCCAGCCTACTGCACCGACACTGCAAACCTGCGTGGCCTGTTACTGGGCTTTAGACACAATGATGACTGTTTGGTATCTAAACATAGAAACGTGCAGTAGAAATGCTGTATAAAAGATAAAAAATGGTGCAGCCGTATAGGGCACATGGCATGAGTGGAGCGATTTTGAGGGGACCCACCATTAATGTGCAAATGGCTTCTTCCCTTGCAGTGTTATTGTATCGAATGTGATTGGAAATGTTTCCATTATTCCAACCTCTTTTGTTTTGTGTTACATGAAGACACTCATGTTCATGGGGATTGACAGCATGAGAATATGTGCCGGGCCCTGCAAACGGAATGCCTGACGTTAACTTTATTGCAAACGACATCTGGATAATCAGTTTACTCCTTTCCAGGTGCTAAGAGCTCATGCAAAGTTGACTACTTTTTACGGAGCATTTGGACCAGAAAAATTCAGGTGTGTACATTCATTTGTAAATTTTAGATTGTGAATTAGATTCAGGTTTAGAAGATCATAAAAGATACAGCATTGCTTTGAATGAATCCAGGTTTTCCAGGGGCGGGAAATATCATTCCTGCTAAGCTTTAGCCACTTCCTACACCGTGTGTGGGAACTGATACGCTGAGATGCAAATTTAAATTCCTGTACTGCAGCAATTATACATCTGGAAACTGATTTTGTCAGATTGACTGATATGCCCCAGACAAGCGTATTTTTCGGGATAAATGAACACTGAAGGGAAGCTTTGTTTTTCCCCTGTGGCCAGTCAGTTATTCCAATACTATCTTCACATGATCCACATTCTCACTGCCCATTGAAATGTCCTTTTAATCACGTGCTAAAATCTCACCTGTGTGTGAGCCGGTCTCTGGACTTGAACTATATCCTTTGACCTCACCTTCCTGATGATCCCCAGTATCGAGTAGTTTGACTTGTGCAGGTTTAAAAGAAATGCCCTGGTGTCCGGTAGACTGGCTACAGTAGACTTTTCTTTCTTTTCAGAATTTGGGGGCTGTTCTTGCATAGATTTTTTTCTTTTCTGTACCACATTTGGAATCAGAATGAGCTCACTCAGTTTAAAGAACCTTATTTTTAAAGGGATTGATTTTTTTCATTGGGAATGTGATGAACCTAGCATCAATTCGGGGAGGACCGGCATCTTTACAATATCGAATCTTTCTATTCCAGGATAGTATGTTTCTTTCTTCTCCTTCTCTCCTGATCCTTTATGTTCCTGACTGGTATCCATTCAGTTGTCTCTATCTAGATTTTGTACACTTTTTGTTTAATTTTTACTTTACTCTTTTTCTCTCAGTTGTTGTAAAAGGGACTTTTCTCCCTCGTGTTTCCAAAAGGACATGAAGAAGTATTCGGTTTTAAAATTACTTTTTAGTCATCTACCTTACTGAATTTTTCTTTTCATTTTCACCGATAACTTTATTGACTTGGATATTTTGAGTATGTTGGTAGCTATTTCCTGCATGGTATAACATTGATTGTTCTCAGGGAATGCCCCAGTTTGATGGCTATCAACTTCAACTGCTCTACCCGACCATGGACCATCATCCAGGGTTGAATTTCTTTATTATTCATCATAATATTTCAAGTGACCTTGTTTTTTCCAAGTATATAATTACATGTTTGAACAACCATAATTCTACCTAACTTCTTCTCCTTGTCTAAATTTTATATACTGGCACTTGTAGAACAATAAGTAACAGTGGTACCAGGCATCTTTCTCTTGTTCCTGACAGTAATGGAAATGCTTATTTTAAAAGCATGATAAAGAGAAAAATAATGATAATAAAAGCATGATAAAGGCTTTTAGTGTTTTTGTCTTTTTATCAATTTAGTATTCATCACCTACTTCTGATCTTTAATCGGGACCAAGTGGTCACTGCAGCATTGGGGGTTGTAGCAAAAGATAGAAAATGACCTGAAGTGTTCGACTCTGGGGGCTAGTCAAATCAATTACAGTGAGCCGTGCCATGGAATGGTGTAGTCCTTAAAATAGATATATTATTTTAAATATAGGGCATGTGTGTGCTGATTTGGGGCAGCACCAAGATAATATAAAATGAACTTAAGTACAGACAGTATTTATACAGAAAACTCTCATTCAAACTAACTTTTTTCCTCCCTTTGACTTGGCAGTGGCAGTTCTTGGATTGAATTTCTGAATAATGAAGATGAGCTTAAGGACATTTTTTCGCAGCTGAGGGAAGGAAACCTTGTCTGTGCCCAGTACCTCTGGCTCAGACATCGGGTAAACTCGTTTTCCCTTTCTCTCTTAGTAGTGGCTTCAGACGCCCAAGGTAGGCGACTGAATCAGTGTTGGGAACTGACAAGGTGGCAGGTGTGACTGGGTCATGGGATAGTTTCATGTTGATAAAATATGACACGTCCCAAAGCAAATTATCCTGAGAGGACTGTTAACTCAGAGGAAATGTTACAAAGATACAATAGAAACTGTATCTCACTCAGAGTAGCTCAAAAAGCAACATTTTATTAAGTAATTTATTGGTGGGCTTTTCTTTCTTTTATGTTTTTTTTTTAACTTTCACTGATTTTAGAGGGGTGGGGGCGGGGCCAGGCATCAATTTGTTGTTCCACTTGTTGATGCATTCATTGGTTGCTCCTTCTGTGTGCCCTGACTGGGGATCAAACCTGCAACCTTGGAGTTTGGGGTTGACATTCTAACCACCTGAGCTATCCAGCCGGGGTGATGGGCTTTTTTATGTAGCATCGGTGGAGAAGATATTCCTATTGCAGTTCAGATTATAGTAAAGGAAAAACTGCTACTCTGAATCCCCTTAATGCTGGTATCTAAAGATAGGTCCCAAAAGCAGTTAACTGGGTGTGATGTCATTAGTGGACGTGTTGCTAGGACCTGTGTCACCATCTCCAGCGGAGTTGTCCTCAGAGGACCCTCCCTGCCAGTTCCTCTGCTGCCTGATTTGCTATCTGGAATGTTCTGTCCTGAGGTTCATGGAAGCCGTGGCTCCCGGCTCAGATCGTCAGTGCAGAGTAAAATGGCCTTTAATGCTCATTGAAATGCAAGCCAGTTCTTGGAATGACTTCTGAGCGGTTTTTCTTTTCTGGGAGGCTGTCACTTTAAATTTGTCAGATAAGCCTTACTTTCTCACTGTATGATTTTTAGGCAAACTTTGAAAGCAGATTTGATGTGAAAATGCTTGAGAACTTGCTCAACTCAATTTCTACACCAGTCCCTTTGCCAAAGCTCTGTCCGTGGCTTAAAAACGACGTGATCCCCTTTGTGAGAAGGATTGTACCAGACGGACAGGTCAGTCGCTGTGGGGTTCCCACCCTCGGTGGTTCGGTCTTATTTTTTCCATCATATCATTGAAACACTGGTTAGTTCATTTTAGTGTCTCTTTTGAAAGATTGTCATGGATGTTTTAAATTACTTCAGTGATTAACTAATTGCGTATTTTATTTTTAAATGATTTATCTATTTCAGAAAATTCTTGCAAAATGGTTGGAGCAAGCAGCCAGGAATCTTGAATTAACTGATAAGGTAATATGCATAATTAGCACTGAAAAAATATGTAAGATTCTCCCAGTGGCATAAATCATTATTTTTAACTGTTGGTAACATTTTTTTAAAGGCAAACTGGCCAGAAAATGGACTTCAGCTGGCAGAGGTGTTTTTTATGGCAGAAAAACCACACGAGCTGGGATTGGTGTCCTCCTGGCACTGGATTTCCTTGGTATGATGTGGGAGACACATTTTTAGTAATAAAACATGCAATTCATGTTCAGGTTCGTCTACATACACTAGAAAGATAGCCACTTCTGAAATTGTCTGTTTTTATTCTTTTGTTCTTTTCTTTGGATAGGTACTGTTAAAATCCACAGAAAGCAAACTTGGCTTTTTTGCCTTCTGAATTTCCGTTATGACTTCAGCCTGTCTGAGTGCACTCTTTTTCTCCATTAAACCAACCAAGAGGGAAACGATATGTAAACATGGCCCTAGGAAGTGTGCTTGAGGTTGTCTGCATTAGCAGCATTTCACACTGCTTTAAAATACAAAATTCAAAATGCATTGGGATTTATTCTCACAGGCTATATCCCTCAGGTTTGCTTCTTAATTTACACGAGTGAACTACTCCTGGTTCTGAATGCAGACCTTAGACATTTCAACAACCATTACTGCATAAGTACCAATGAGTATTTTAAAAAATCAAATTGGGAAAAAACCTGGCACTTTCTGACTGTCTGAAATAAATGGCAATTCTAGAAAGGGAACTAAGATTGGGAATATTGATGTTGAAGTTAATGAACTGAATTTGTTTGGCTTCTAAATTTCTTAAGTTCATATCTCTTTCCCTTCAGGTTTCTAAAAACTAGCAAGCATTCATTATATACTTTTTAAATGTACATTCTTGTATTTAAAAACCTGTTGGTGTGCCATGATTTAGTTGATACACATGAGACATCTCGGTATAATCCCAACTCTGAGGTATTAAGTACTTGAGTACTTAAGTGCTCGAGTATGACCTTACTTATGGTTTAAATATACAATACGAAATCACATTTTCTTCCTTAAATTCCTGGAGCCCCCAAATAATAAACTTCCTCCTATTTTCCAATATAGCAGATTCTTATGAATTATACTTATTGATTATCAGTAATATACTGTTATAAAGTGGGAATTTTTCTGTTTCAAGCAGTATATTGATGTATATAATCAATATGTACTAGACTGTATATTGGTCACCGTGATGTATTTTTCTGCAGAAGAGCCTTTTCGTCTTGCTATATAAAACACTACTTTGTCTTTTCCATGTTAATTGCCTTTTATCAATATTGAGAATTCTGATCCTTATAAATAACTTCAGAAAAATGTTACCGCTTTAAGATAAGACAGAGGGACGTTGAGGGCCATCCAAGTGGGGTCTACGCACCTAAGCATGTTGGGGTTCCAAAAACAGACTATACTAACAACAAGTTTTCCTATTTTTTTTAAGAAAGTAAGTTTTCATTAGATTCCTATCAGATTCTGATCTGTTAGTTTGTACTAGTTAATTTAAAATTCTGCAACATTTAAAGACACACGTTGCCAGTTTCCTCTTTTTATGTATATAATCGTGGCTGTGGGAAATAATTCTGACCTTTCTGTGTATTTCTTCCTCACACTTTTATTTCCTGTCCTTGACGACTTCCACGCTGTCATTTCAGAAGGATTATGAAAACATGGAGGAGGTCTGTCAGTTACGGACTTTGGTCAATAACTTACGAGAGTTGATCACATTGCACAGGAAATACAACTGCAAATTGGCCCTCTCCGATTTTGAGAAGGTAAAAGTTTAGATTGACCAGCATTATTTTTTATCACAGGCAGGATGAGTGGAGTTTGCATTTATACATTTTTTTTTTCCTTTGGCGTTCAGGAGAACACGACCACCATTGCGTTCCGGATGTTCGACAAAGTGTCGGCCCCCGAGCTGATCCCCTCCGTCCTGGAGAAGTTTGTGAGGGTTTACGTGAGGGAGCACGACCTGCAGGAGGAGGAGCTGCTCCTGCTCTACATAGAGGTGACCTCGCCTTCACGTCTCGTCTTTTTTCTTGGATCTGTGCCATGCGCGGTTGTATTAAACGCTTACTACAGTGTGTTACTGTATTTTGCGATGTACAATGCACGCTTTTTGCCCAAACTTTTGAGGGAAAAATAAGGATGCACATTATACATGGGTAAAACTGATTCTGTATCTATGTAAATGTTTCTAATTTTTTTATGTACGCTATGTGTTACAAGTATAACTCCAGAAAGCAGTAACAATATCTGTATGCAAAATAACACCTTTTATAATACAAAGAACTGTCTAAATATAAATAGTTAAATTAAAATATTAAAATGAAAGCTTTTTTTCCTGAAAGTTTGGACCAAGAACATGGGTGTGCATCGTACACAGCAGAATACGGTAACTCCCTAGAATTGAACATGTGATGCTTTACTCTTAGAATTTGTGCAGCTCACCATTTGGGGTAAGAACATCAGTCAGATCTGCTGTTGATTGACTGATAGCCTTGAGCCAAACAGGGTGATATTAGGGCTTTCTAAATGGCTTTTGTGAGATAATAGCATGAGCTCAATAAGTGTTAGCAATTATTTTTTCTAGACACTGATGAGGTGCAATAATCTTGTTTATAGAGTTTTCAAGAATGTTTCCACCATAAGTTTTCTGTACCATGTAAAACTGAAGGCCAAGGTTCGGGTTCTTTTGTGTTTTTTTAACCATTCAGCGTCCATGGCCAAGCAGAAGTTTTTGGTTTCCACACGTCCATAAAAGCTACTCATGTCTGTATGCATGCATTACTTTTTTCATTTCAGTGGGAGTTTTAAATTTAAAGAGTTTATGTGCTTCCCCCTCGGTAGGATCTTCTGAAGAGGTGTAGCTCCAAGTCCACGTCACTCTTTGAGACGGCGTGGGAAGCGAAAGCCATGGCCGTCATAGGCTGCCTCTCGGACACCGACGTGAGTGCACGGCGACCGTGGGTCGGGCACGGGTGTGAGCGCGTAGTGACCGTGGATCGGGCACGGGTGTGAGTGCACAGTGACAGGACAGCTTTCCCTTTTCAGCATTGCCTCTTGTCTTATTTTCTGATCATAAAAGCAACATACATTTGTTGAGAAGAATTTACGTAGTGTGAAAAAAGGAATTCAAAACAGTTTAAAACCACCCATAATTCTATTTTCTGTAATTGTGAAAATTAAAAGTAAAAGTTTTCCTAATTCCACCCCCCCAAGAACCACCATAGACAGCTGTATGCATATATACTTCAAGGCTTTTCTGTGGTTTTACAAACATGGAAACATTTTAAAAATACATTATAATATGCCTTTATTTTGACCTTCACTTTTATTAGACACTGTTATAAAATATGAATTAAAAAATCATGGAAAATACTTATAAACATAGGCTGTAGAAAGAAATAGGGTTATATGACTTGACTTTCAGCAAAGAAAATAGTTTTCTACATTTTCCTAAATACTAAAATTACCCTTCGTGTGTGGAAATTGGAAGAAATACATGCCTTTGCGGTCAGAAGATCAGGTCTTCTCCAGCTACCAGACAGCAGATGTAAGATGTCTGCCGTGGGTTAGGCGATGCCGTGAACTTGCACGCATGTGACTCCGAGGGCTGCTCACTGTCCTGTGTGTGCCTTTGCAGCTCATCTTTGACGCCGTGCTGAAGATAATGTACGCGGCCGTGGTGCCCTGGAGCGCGGCCGTGGAGCAGCTGGTGAGGCAGCACCTGGAGATGGACCACCCCAAGTAAGACGGCGGCGGCCGGCCAGACACCCCCCGGTGGGCGTCGGGTGAACCTGGTGTGCGGACGTTCCTTTTGGTTTTCTGTCCTTCACCGAGTCCCTTGGGATTTCATGAGAAAGAAAATCCACGTTAACACCGATAAATCTACTTTTAGGGTCAAGTTGTTACAGGAGAGCTACAAACTAATGGAGATGAAAAAACTTCTACGAGGCTATGGAATCAGGGAGGTGAACCTCTTGAACAAGGAGATAATGGTAAGTACAGTGAAGAGTCTTTTAACCCCTTTGTTCCATTTCTAAGGCAGCGTGGGAAATCTAATGGGAATTTCATACCCTTAAAGGTAATAGAGCTAGACTCTCCACTACTTTCCCTTTGTTAAGCAGAATGTTAATGGGGCGCTTAATTATTTGTTAGAGCAGAGAGGACAACAAAAGGTAAGTTCAGAAACTAAAGGAGTGTATCAGACGGCCGTATCATGCGCCTTACATGTGTGCGATGTTTCTTTGCCAATCACGCTTCAGTAAAGCTGGAGGGAAAAGAAGTTGGGCGGCACTGTCATAAAATTCTGAGAGTATTTTATTTTCTGATGTGTTTACACAGCTCACTTTTGTCACTGCCTTATTTCAATTTAATGAGCACTGTGCCTTATGAGCAAATGATCTCCGGGTTCTCTCCAGGTTGGATAATAGCACACGTTGTCTCTGTTTCAGAGGGTGGTGCGGTACATCCTCAAACAAGACGTCCCCTCGTCCCTGGAAGACGCCCTGAGGGTGGCCCGAGCGTACCTGCTGTCTGACGATGAGATCTATAGTCTGAGGGTCATCGACCTGATCGACAGAGAGCAGGTGCGAACGCGTCGCATGGTCCTTTCTTTCCTGTACTGTCTTTGTTAGTGAGATTCTTAAAAACTGAAAAAAAAACCCATCAAATTATTCAAATAGATGTGCACCACTTGAAGTTGGACCAAGATAAAAAAAACTTTGAGTGTTTTTCATATGTGCAGGTTCTTGGGCAGTATTTTGTGACCAGCTAATGGGTTTTCGAGCCCTTTGGCACCTAACAAAACTCAGATTCCCTTTTACAATTTCTGTGGAACCCTTTGACTCCAGAATAGGATGCCGGTTTTTTTGTATTCTTACATGTTTCCCCCCCTGTAATTCTACAACCATAGAATTGCAAAGTACGGAGAGTGGTGTTTTAATTTAATTTCTTCCTTTGCTGTAATCCACAGAATCTTAATATTTTTATCCTACTAGAATCTAGTTTTCAAGATATCCTATTATCTTTTAGTAGAAGGGAGAGAGGTGAGTCCAAACCATGGTTTGCACGGAGGAATCAGCTGTTTTCCTTCCTCCCCACACCGGGTACAGGGTGAGGACGGCGTCCTGTTGTTGAGGTCTCTGCCTCCAGCCGAAGCGAAGAAGACCGCGGAGAGAGTCGCCACGTGGGCGCGACTGGCATTACAGGAAGAGCCGGAGAATTCGAAAGAGGTAAGATTTCCACTAAATACAATGTAGATAAACCCAACTTTTATAGAGAGTAGGCAGTTGGGTAGAAAAGATAGGCCTGCCAGCATGAATACCCGCTTTTCCCACTGCCGGATGGGCCTAATGTAAACACTTCTGTGTGGTCCGTGTGCTGTGTAGAGAAAAGCCCAGGGTGGCTGCTTTGGAGTAGCGGCTTGAGCCCACACTGAATGAGCCAGGATCTGCAGATCAGAAGGGTTAACCAAAGTTGTACTCCACGATGCCTTGCCGTACAAACGGTGTTCTGCATTGCATGGACACAGTCATTACTATCCAGTAGTAAGGTCGGCAACAGAAACAGCGTAAATCTGAATGGTCTCGGGACCCTGAAACTTAGAAACTTGACTTCTTTACAGCAATAAGGAAACAAATACGTAGGGGTTTTTTTTTAAACTTTTTTATTGATTATGCAATTACATTTGTTCTATTCCCCCACTCCATTCCCCTCCACCCTGCATACCCCTCCCCCACCATTTCCCCCTTTAGTTCATGAACACGTGTCTCAAATTCTTTAGATTCTGTATTTCCCCTACTATTCTTACCCTCCCCCTATCTATTTTCTACCTACCATCTATGCTACTTATTTTCTGTACCTTCTCCCCCCTTCTCCTCTTCCCACTCCCCTGTTGCTAACCCTCCATGTGATCTTCATTTCTATGGTTCCGCTCCTGATCTAGCTGACCTCTTAGTTTGCTTTTGTTTTAGGTGTGGTTGTTAGTAACTGTGAGTTTGCTGTCCTTTCACTGTTCATCTTTTTTATCTTCTTTTTCTTAGGTAAGCCCCTTTAACATTTCATATAATAAGGGCTTGGTGAGGATGAACTCCTTGAATTTGGTCTTATCTGAGAAGCATTTTATCTGTCCTTCCATTCTAAATGAAAACTTTGCTGGATAGAGTAATCTTGGTTGTAGGTCTTTGGTTTTCATGACTTGGAATACCTCTTTCCAGCCCTTTCTTGCCTGTAAGGTCTCTTTTGAGAAATCTGCTGACAGTCTGATGGGAACTCCTTGGTAGGTGACTGTCCCCTTATCTCTTGCTGCTTCTAGGATTCTCTCCTTCATTTGAATCTTGACTAATGTAATGATGATGTGCCTTGGTGTGTTTCTTTTTGGGTCCAACTTCTTTGGGACTCTCTGAGCTTACTGGATTTCCTGGAAGTCTATTTCCTCTGCCAGAATGGGGAAGTTCTCTTTTATTATTTGTTCAAATAAGATTTCCACTCGTGACTCTTCCCCTTCTGGTACCCCTATAATTCGAATGTTGGAACGTTTAAAGATGTCCTGGAGGTTCCTAAGCTTCTCCTCATTTTTCTGAATTCTTATTTCTTCATTCTTTTCTGTTTGATCATTTTTTTCTTCCTTCTGGTCCACTCCCTTGATCTGAGTCCCAATCTCCTTTCCATTACTATTGGTTTCCTTTGTATTATCATTCATTTCAATTAGTTTAGCTTCCATATGTTTCTCTAATTTGTGACTAAAATCAACCAGTTCTGTAAGGATCCTGATAACCAGTGTTTTGAACTGTGCATCTGAAAGATTGGCTATTTCTTCATCGCTTAGATTGATCGGTTCTGGGGCTCTGAGTTGTTCTTGAGCCATTTTTGGTCTATTTGCGCCGTTAAGTAAGCGGAGCGAAGCCTTAATTGTTTACCAGGACGGGGTGACCCAGGTCGCTGGTTTGTGACACCGTGTGTGGGGGCGTGGTCAGAGAGGGAGCAATGGCGGTCCTCTCCGCCAGCCCAGTCCGTCCAGTCACACCATTCACCCCAGGCCTGTTTATCCGATCGGAATTGTGCGGGCCTGCTGCCCCGCGCCGGCTCCCCTCTTCACTGGTTTATCTGCACGCAGATGTGCGACCGACTGCAGACAGCCCGCCGTGCCTCTTCCCTGTGCGCTCCCCTAGCTAGCCCACGCACCACCGTTCGGGGATTTTTTTTTTTTTTTTTTTTGCCAACCTGTTCCGCTGCTGGCTTCGCTCCTCTTACCGGTTTAGCTGAGCATTTTGTTGTCTTTGGACTCCGTATTGTCAATTTTCTGTGTGGTTTGGTTGTGTTTTTTGTTGTTAAAAATAGTTGTTCTTAGATTTGGTTGTGCACAGAGGCAAGGTGGTTCCACCTACACCTCCATCTTGGTGGAAGTGAAATATGTAGGTTTTTAAAGCTTCAGAAAGAAATACATCCCATCCCATCCCAGCAGTCCACTTCCATAGTTTCTTTACTTTTAGGGAAATGAGGTTTACGTTTTTGATTTTTTTTTTTTAACATCTGATATTTATTACGGTCTTATTATCAGGTAGTGGGCATTAGGTTAGATACTGTAAACAAATTGTCCACTTTCTCTTAGCTGGGAAGTATGTTCTTATAGATTAAGTTCAGAAACTAAAGTTTTTACAAAAATGCCTGTCCTGAGGTTGTTAGAAAGTGGCAGGGCCCCAAGTCGAACCGACGCGGAAGTCTGGACTCTGACCCACCGGCCTGCACCGTGTCCCGTAGGAGGTGTTTTCTGAGTGGGTCTGGCCCGAAACACCCATCGTATCCTTTCATTAAAGCTTTTCCCTGTTTGATGTTTCTTCTCTCCTTTTTAAAACTATTTTTTAGTCCTGAAGATAATGATTTGACTTCAGTTCTCTAGGTTAAATAAGCTCAGTTCTTTTCAACTTTTCCATAGAGCTTTTCCAAATGTTTTTCCAGATGATAAACAAAGGTGATTAAAAAACCAAACAGACCAACAAGAGCCCAAGTGTCTGGTAGCCGAAAGGCGCATATCCTGTGGTATTTCCAAATACCGTACGTCCAAGCGTTCGCCCCGGTGATTTTTATACTTGGATTATCTGCGATTCAATTGGGACCCATTTCTTGGTTCCACAAGCCCAGTCATATGGACCTGTCAGTTTTTCAGCAGCTTTTACGTTTTTTTCCGATCCCTTCGTTTTCATGTGTTACGTATATGTGCTACCAAAGTGGTGAGTAAGGCAGGAGGCTTCATCCCGCGTGTTCCTTTTCAGGACAAGGCCTGGAGGATGTCTGTGGTGAAGACGTCAGTAGACATCCTTAAAATACTGCGCAGCCTCCAGAAAGGTAGTGTCCCCCTCTGTCCCCTCACCACGGTTCGGCTGCGAAGTTTGCCCTTTTCGGAAGGAAACCTCAGTGCCCACTCTCGCCTTCACCCGCGGTTCTTCAGGCTCTGGGGGCTTTTGTCGTTCCCACCCATTGTCTTCCCTGCCTCGTTCTTTCCGTTTGTAGCATGAGAATCGATGTGTCGAAAATCCACTTACCGTTGGTGTGCACGCCTTGGTGAGCTAGTTCAGGCTTGGCCAGATTTTTTGGTGCTTGGAGTTTAGTATCTTTCTCCTTATTGTTTGGTTATGATCGGGAAACAAAACCTATTTAACTTTGAACTTAAAAAAAAAAAAGATTAACAAAGTAACTCTTGGGAAGAAAAGAAGAGCTACAATTTATTTCAGAAAAATTGCCAGTTCTCTTGCAACCTATAAACCTCTCTTTTCGTACCTATCAAAAGAGTAATTAAATTAGATTGCTTTTTATATCTGAATCATCTGATCAGCATCTCAACAGAACTACTGAAGAACTGAGAGAAGAAAACCAACACTAATTAAAATTTTAGCCTTTATAAATTCTGATAATGTGGGAATTTAGATGTTTCCTGTAACTAAAAATTTTAATTACAGACAATCCGCAGAAGAAGGATGAGTGTGAAGAAATCCTGAATCAATTTAAAACTGTTGCCAGTTTACAGGTAAAGATGTGAAGCCTTGTTGCACAGGGTTGTTTGACTAACGGGTGCACTCACCGCAGACACCCTCCCTCCCACAGCGCGCTCTTCAGCAAGGTTGAGAAACCCTGTCCCAAAGTGTGGCATCAGACCGAAAGGTCTGCCTCACTCCCGCCACCTTTGTGTCCTCCCCTGGGCTTCCGTGGGATTAGTTCAGGTCTAGAGTCAGCAGCCAACCAGCCAACCAGGAGTTCTGGTAGAAAGAGCAAGGCCACCAGGGTCGAATCGCCCAAATCTAGCGCTTAATCCCGCCTTCCTGCTCAGGGCCTGCCCACAGTTCCGGCCTAAAATGGCTTCGGTACCGCTGCAACACCCCAGGTCAAAGTAACATTTTCCTGTTTTTCAGACTTGTTACAAAATTGTTACTTTCACAGCTTGAACAATGAACTCTTTTTCCTTTTAATTTTTGCATTACATTGGGTATTTAATATTAGTTTCAAGTGTACAGCACCACACTTAGACATTTGTACGACACCTTAAATCCTTCATTTATACGGGGGTTGTCTTTGGGGGAGAGGGAAGAGAGGTTTGAGACATCCCGATGGTTTTTCACAATGGACGAGCTAGATAGACTCGGGGCTTATCTGGCTTTTCTCGTGACAGGAGAACTTCGAGGTCTTTCTTTCCTTTGGAGATTACAGCGACCGCGCCCTGGTGGCGGAGCTCCGAGAACAGCACATCAAGGCCCAAGAAGCCGCCCAGGCAGAGCACAGACCCAAGAGCTCCGCAGGGCCAGCGACCGCCAAGGACAAGGGCCCGAGCACCGAGTCCAGGCTGCACCGCCAGGCGCTGGCCCTGCAGGTGTCGGAGCAAGAGCTGGAGGCCGAGCTGACCTGGAGGGCCCTCAGCGACGGGAGCGTGGGGATGGCGCTGGAAAAGTGCAGGTGCGCTGTGGCTCTCCACGTCCCACAGCCCCTCGGGAAGAAATCTGTGCCCTGTTTGCTTCAGTGGTGGTGAGGGTGGGGCCAGGGACACCTGCAGTTCCACCGAAGTGACTCTTGGTTCCTTGCCCTGAGAGCCTGTTGGGACTCTGGGTCGGAAAGTGGAAGCACCGAGAAGTGACCGATGCTGTGTAGGTAGGTAACCTCACCCCCGGGCGGAGGTCACCGTGGCTCCGCCGGGAGAGGGCGTCCCAGGTAAGGTGAAAAGGGAAGCACACTGTAGACCGTGCGGCCGTTTCAGAGGTTGGCGGTGGTTCCGTATTTACCTAAGAAAGGCAAATGCTCTCGGTACGAGTTCTCTAACTCGAGATGCTTCCTTTCTCCCAAAGAGCCCTGTGTACGTACCACCGCAACCCCGACACCGGGCGGCTGCTGTTTCTGGTGTGTCGGAAGCTCTGCCACATGCTGGCTAATGACGTTCCGATGACAACGCCTGTGGGACTGAATCTTCCTTCTGAAATACACGCTCTCGCCTGCCAAGCTGCCACCATCTGCAGTCCAGGTGACAAGACTAATACACATGGTGTGATATTCTCTGGTCCACGGTGTAGTCGTCTCCCAGATGCGGGCCCTTTGCAGTTGGGATTGCCGTTAACGAGAGAAGAGTTTGTATCTCCGTTTTACAAAGGCACCATTATAATCCATTTTCTGTGAGGATTATTGTTCTACCGTATTTCCAAACAGTACCAATGTCATTTCTGACCGTTGATGACGTCTGCCTCCGCAGGACTGTGGTGTTCCTCGCCTCCCCGTACCTGATCTCACTTTCCAGCCAAGCTTTAGAAAACACTTGACCTCCGTTTCTTAGGCAACCTCGCTCTCTGCTTTGCGGCCTGCCTTGGAGTTTTGAATGAGAATTTTTAGAAGGTTGTTTTCAGTGTTATTTTAAACAAGTGAAGTATTAGAGCAGTGATTTTTTTCCCCCATTTCCTTTCAGACTTCTTACCAGACGCGCTGGAACTGTGCAAATACACTCTCATGGCCGTAGAGCTGTGCAGGCAGTGCCAGATGGGGGACGACGGGATTCTGATGAAAGTGAGCTGCTTCCGAACTTCTCTTCCCTCAGCAAAAGCCCTGCTGACCCACTGTGCGTCGCGTTTAAATCACTTGTGTAGTTTACACACACACTGACTGCATCCCTTGCATTTTCTTACTCCATCCCAGTGGGCATGAGACCGTGTCTCTCTCCCAGTCGCATTTATTGGCTTTAATATGCACAGTCTTATGGAACGCCAGGCCTCAAACAAGGTGTCTGTGGACGGTGTCCCTGTCTTACAGTGCCAGTGGCTTTGCAACGGCAGTCTCCTAAGCCATCGGCCAGAACAAACAGGCCACACAGTTGCATTTGACCGCCAAAACGGCGCTCGACTCTTGAACGCCTTTGACTCTGGGTTCTGCTGGGTCGGGGAAGGTCATTCTGTGTGTTCTGGAGTCCGCTTATGAGCCCTTTTCCGTGTGACTTGGCCTTAGACTTCGTTTGGGACTCAGAAAGATCCCTATGAAGAGTGGTCGTACAGCGACTTCTTCAGTGAGGACGGGATAGTCCTCGAGTCCCAGATGGTGCTGCCTGTCATCTACGAGCTGATTTCGTCCCTCGTCCCTCCAGCCGGTCAGTCTCTTTCGTGTCGTTGTTTTCTACGTGTCTCTGCTTTGTTTGTGCAAGTTTAAGCTGTGGGGGTCGGGGGCTAGAACCACACACAGTAACGCGGGTACCGTGCTCAGCAAGGGCACGCGAGAACGTCTGTGAGACACGGAGGTGTGCCCCGTGAAAGTCGTTTGATTTACTGTACTTATTTATTCTCTTGCAGAAAACAAGAGGCTTCCCCTGGACTTTACGAGTTTGCCCTACTGCTCCATTGGTGAAGGTATTTGACCTCAGAAGTGTACGCCACGTAAACATACCGCACAGAAATTCCTGGAAATTCTGGGTGTGAATCTGGGTTAATGCTCTCAGTGTCGTGAGTTATCACCGTCACATTGTTACTGTTCCAAAGCGTCAGAAAACTGTGCCATTAGGCTTTCTGGCCTCAACGTTTTTTAATCTGTTGGTAAATTTTGGTCTTCCAAGTTCCTCAGTGAATGATTTAAGCAACTCAAAAACAGGCACGTTACAATCAAAGTATCTCATTATCTAGCAGACTTAGAGATGTTCTGGCTTTTAAGTCATGCTTTATGTTAACTCTCTCGTTTACTAACTTTGACATCGTTACCTGCATTGAAGACGGATGCTGTCCCTGAGAACAGTTTCCGGTGATGCGATCTGTCTTCGGTTAAAGATGTCGGAACACTCACGTGCTGTTACCGTTCCACAGGAGACGGCCTCATCTTACCCAGCATAAACTCCATCTCTGCCCTGCTTCAGAGCCTCCAGGAATCCAGCCAGTGGGAGCTGGCCCTGGGCTTCGTCGTTCGTGCGTTTGGTACCTGTCTTCAGTACTCGGTGTCGAACTTCATGAATGCCACTCTGAGTGAAAAGGTATAGTTTTGAGAACAAATACCGTCATTTGGGGTAAATACAGACACAGAAGCAGTGCCAGGCAAAGGAACTTGGAGTCTGCATCTTGCCGTTGGGCTCTGCGGCGAGGAAACCGATCATTTGAGTAAGAAACGGTTGTTGGTGGGGGAGGGATTTGGAGGAACAAATAGGAAGGAAAGGGAAAAGGGGGTGGAGGGGGGATGGGGGGGGGGCGGGTGGGAATGACAAAAAACTTATGAAAAATAACTAATAAATTTAATTAGAAAAAGCGGTTGTTGGGCATCCCTAAGACCGGGGTGGTGGTCGGGGTCCTTGCCCGCGTTCCTGCTCAGTCTTTACAGCAGCTGGGAGACTGTCCCCTGGGCAGATGAGGAGACCGCCCCCCGGGGAGGTGACGGGGGGCCCGGGGGTCAGGCTGCAGGCAGCCAGGCACCACAGTACGTCCAGACTCTGTCTGCTGTTTGTTTCATGGCCCGAATTATTATAATTAGCACCTGAGGGCGTCATGGACAGATTCTAGGAGACACACGACCTGTTGACAACTTGCTTTTGAACCTGGCCTCAGGGAATCCCCTTCGTTTCTACTACTCTGTTGCTGTTTACTAAGGGACAATTGTTAAAAATCAGCTTTATTGAAGTCTAGCTTTCAAAATGAAAATGCGCATGTGTGAAGCGTGTCCACCACATGGACTGGCTGGTCACCAGCACCAGAGTCAGGACAGAGACCCTACGGGACACACCGATTTCAGCATCAGGATGTTGTGCCCTTTCCCGGCCGGTCCTCTCCCGGCCGCGGCTTTCCGCCATCACAGATGAAATGCCCGTTCTTTTCACATATAATGACGAGTTTTTGAAGTCCCTTAATGTTTTACAGAAGCTTTCAGAACGTCGCATAGAACTGGGTCTGACGTGTCTTTTGTTCTTTTGTAAAAGCTGTTCGGAGAGGCCTCGTTAGTTAAATCCAGGCAAGTCATCATGGCCCTGAGGGAGAAGGCCGTGCCCTTTGTCAGGGGAAACGCCACGACACTGCTGCACAAAGTGAGTGTGTGTCCTCGGCGAGCTGTCCCTCCCCCTCTCGGGGGGCTTCTGATGGCTCGGTGACAGTGAGGAGGGGCGGGGACCTGAAGAAAAGCGAGGAGACAGGAGTCATACAGGAGGGAAGGGTTTCCTGCCACACAGAACAAAACGGTCGTGGTTATTTTCCGTCAATTTATAATGTTGATAAAGGACATTAAAACTAAGCAAGCGAGCTGTAACTATGTCCTCACAGCTAACATTTCATGCAACACTTGTTCCTTCATAGAGCCTGTAATTAAACGTAGTGACGAGCCTTTAGAGCCCGGCATTCTGTTTGGGTTGGGAAGAACTTGCTTCTCCTGATGCTCTTTCCCATAGGTTTTCAATTGTCGCCTGGTGGATCTTGACTTGGCCTTGGGTTACTGCACGCTCTTGCCCCAAAAAGAAGTGTTTGACAACCTCTGGAAGCTCGTAGATAAAGCGTGGCAGAATTACGACAAAATTTTGGTATGACCCGGAAGCACATAGTCAGTGCTTGGGGTGTTAAAGATTTAGGGGAAGAGCGTTGGCCAGTGTGGCCAGCGGATTGAGCGCTGGCCTGTGAAGCAAAGGGTCGCAGGTTCAGTTCCCAGTCAGGGCATGTGCCTGGGCTGTGGGCCAGGTCCCCAGTAGGGGGCGCATGAGAGGCAACCATGCATTGAGGTTTCCCTCTCATTCTCTCTTCCCCCCACTCTAAAAATAAATAAATAAAACCTTTTTAAAAATTAAGCAGAAGCAGTGTCACACTAACTCAGTTGGTTTCTACCAGTTTCTGCTTGCCCCGTGACACCCTGGCCCCAAGCCTTGCCCAGCGAAAAGAATCGCTGTGTGTTTTATTTCTTAAAATCTGTGTGCCACTGTTGAACCTCACTTCTTAGGCTTACTCTAGTGTATCAAAGCCTTAGGCCTGTGAGCTCGTTCCTTTTTGTAGGACAAGTTCAAGAGCTGCAAAACCTCTTTTTGCTGTGTGTGTTTTAAATTTGCCTTTGGGTGGGTGTGGCATTGCCTGCAAGAAAACTAAACTTCGGCCTTTTCTCATGAAGGAGACCCAGGCTGAATTTATGGCATCACACCAACAGCTGAATGACCCAAATATTGTAAAAGTGATGACTGTGTGAAGCAGCATACATTTCACACCGTTAGCCCAAAGAAAGGCTGTGGTTTTCATTGCTGGTTTTCATCTCTTAGGCAATATCTCTGGTGGGCTCTCGGCTGGCCGGTCTCCATCAGGAAGCAGAAGTGGAGCTGAAGTTCCGCGAACTCAGCACGGATGCCCTGTGGGGTATTCGCCTCGGTAAACTTGGTGTGAGTGTTCTTCGTCGCGCCAGGACGAAGTTTCATTCATTCTGATATCTACCCAGTCGGCAAATTTCAACGAAGGTCTCATTGCCCTTCACTGTTGGGGAGAGGATGCATGAGTATGTTTACATGTACCAGCTCTTAAACTTTAGGGGTATTAAGTACACCTACATTGGTGCTCTCAACGAAATAAAGGGCCTTGCCTCATTTCCTTTTTTTTTTTTGTATATTTTTAAGGAAATTGAAAGAGGCTTGACATTTTTATCTGCTTAGCTTTCTCATTTGTAGAAGTGTATCTAGCACGAACTGACAGCATTTCAGGCCTAGCCTTTGGCCTCATACTCTTGTGCTGCTGGGATTTGGTTGAAGGTAATGTTAACATGTGCAGACGGGTGTCCCGGGCTTTGGGAACTCCTGGCAGGGCAGTGAGTGGCCCTCGTTTTTCACTTTGCAAAAACAAGCAAGATCTTGTTTTCTTTACTAAAACGTACAACATCTTACTTAGTTTAAAAATAGTTGACCTACCAGGAATGTAGCCTCTCCAGAACGGTGTACGTTTTGGAATCAGTTTCCTATGCAGGACGGAATGGCTCACTACCAACCACCAGACTGACGATGCAGAGCTGAGGGTCCGCGCACCTAAGGGGTTTTGGGGCCCACCGCCAGGTGCACCTGGAATCTCAGGCCCATATCAAGTTGGGTTATATGATAAAAAAAAAAACATTGTAGGAGCAACAGAAACTTGGTTTTCTATAGAAAAGGATGGTGCAAAGGCACCTCACGGTGGTGCCCTTGCTTTGTACACTTCCGTTTAGTGGAGTGTTCTGTTTTGCTCTTTCTATTCCTAGATTTCTTTTCAGCCGGTTTTCAGGCAACATTTTCTCACCAAGAAAGACCTCATTAAAGCTCTTGTGGAGAATGCAGACATGGACACAAGCCTCATTCTGGAATATTGCAGGTAATTCCTTACACTAATGCCGCTTTCGCCGTTGGCCTAGCAAATTAGGGGACCCTGACCTCGAGAACACATTGATAAGGGTGACCGGCACACTCAGCCCACAGATCTGGCGTGTCTGCTGTTGCTCACCCCAGAAGTGAGTATAAGTCCAGAACCAGATTAAGTCCTCGTCAGGTATTGCCATTTTCGTTCACCGGTCGGTGTTTTCCACACTTCCCTCTTGATGAGCCGGGCCCAGGGCACGTGATGAAACACACTGAGTCCTGGGCCCCTCCCTGAGGTTCTCCCAGCAGGTGGGGGCTGAGGCCCAGGAGTCGGAGCCTGCTTAGGCACTTCAGGGATTCCCATGGTCAGGGAAGTTTGGGAAGATTCTTCTGAGCAATGAGATTTCCAAGTCAGGTCAAATTAGCGGCAGGGTGATCTGAAATTAAAGCTCAGCAAAAAGAATTTAGGGAGAATTTTTTTAAATTTAATAAGTGAATAAAAAAACTGAAGGCTAGCTGTTAGTTAATAAATCCTTGATGGGTACAACATCGTGCCCATCCTGTGTCCGGTGGCCTTCGCAGGCAGGTTGCTCTGGAACTGGGTGCGAAATACGCACCTGCTGTTTTTCCCTCGATGCCTGGTTTTGCTCAGTTTGCCACCAGGAGTCATGCATTGTCTTTGCTTTGCACAGGAAGTCACACCTCTTGCCTAGACAGAATTCAGTTTCATCTCGAGCATAAACACCTTCAATTTCAAGAACAGTCCTCTGCTCCTTCTGGTTCTGGAGACCCTGCTCACAGCCAGCCTTGGCCCTGGCCCGCTGCCTTCCGCATGTGCGGGTCATTTCAGGGGTCCTGAGGCCGGCAGGGCCACAGGCTCCAAGGGGGCAGGACAAGCAAGATTAATACCTGGTGTGTTTTTTTAATGTATATTTATTTTTTATGTTTCTAAATCACTTTTTTATTGTCATTTACAGTTGTCCCAATCTTTCTCCCTTTGTCCTCCTTCACCTGTCCCACCCCCTCCCCCAGTCAGTCCCCACGCTGTGTCCATGTCCGTGGGTCATTCACACATGCTCTTTGTCTAGTCCCTTCTTTCCACAGTATCCAGCCCTCCCCACCCCCAGTAACACCTGATTGTTTCAAAGGCTGCAGTTAACCCTGATGACAGGTAGATTACGGGATCCCAAGACCAGACAGTGGAAGGGTTTGGTTTCAGCGATGGGAGCACGGACCCGAGTCTTCCGTGAGAAATCTCGTGCCGAGACGCGGGCTTGTGGGGGGTGGGAGTGTGACGAGCACTTCCCTTAGCACCTTCCAGCTGAACTGCGACGCGGCTCTGCAGCTGTTCGTGGAAACCCTGCTGCACAACCCGAGCGCCAGCCAGGGCGACGCGGGCCCGGGCGCGGCCGGGCAGCCGCACTCCCGACTCCTGGCCAAGGCCCTGGACATGGTGCCCCTGCTGACGAGCACCAGGGAGCTGGTCATCAGCCTCAGCGGCATCCTGCACAAGGTGGGCGCGGGCGACGGGACTTCTTGGCTCGTGTTAAGCGTCCCTCCTGCACTTTCGTAATCTGATACGTAGGAACAAATTGGAGGTGGAAGCTCTACAGTTTTTATAAACTTTTAATTTTGAAATAAGTCTAGATTTCTATTTTTGATACAGCTTAATACAGAAGTTTTTGTCTTTTTAAAAAATAGAAATAGCCTCTTTTTAAAATTTTAAAAATAATATATATTCTTTGAAAAAGAACAAACTAAAGAGAAAGGTGTAAAATGAGAAGGTGGAGGGCCAGGCCCGGTAGCTCAGTTGATCAGAGCATCGTCCCGACATGCCAAGGTTGCAGGTTCAATCCCTGTTCAGGGCACATAGAAGACTCACCCGATGAATGCACCAGGAAGTGGGACAGGAAAAACTGATGTCTGTCCGTCTCTATATACACATATATAAAGTCAATCAGTAATTTTTTAGAAATACTTAACCCCACTCCTGTAGATAAAATGTTAATCGTTTGGTGAATACCTTACTCTGAACGTACTGTCCTGTGGCTCTCGTTTTTTCATTTAATATATTGTTATTATGTGTCAGTAAATAGCCACCGACCTCATTTTTGACAAGCACATGTTATTATTCCACAACATGGCAGAAACCCACTGTCTTCACCAGGCCTTTATGGATGAACACTTAAATGGCAAATTCTGTTACTGTGGATATCTTCGTGCATAGATATTTGCCATCTTGTTTGTTACATTTATTTACTTATTTATTGGTTAGATCCGAGGATTGGAACTCTGAGGCCAAGGGGTAGTTCGATGGGGGAATGACGTTGGATGGAAGGGGAAACAAGATTATAGGACTACAAGAGATAGTTCGGTTTTATATTTTGCCTGTAATTCAGCCAAAAATTTCATATAAATTCATCTTTTAGAGGGGAAGGGAAGGAGAGAGGGAGAGAAACATCAATGTATGGTTGCCTCTCATGTGTCCCCTGCTGGGAACCAGCCTGCAGCCCAGGCATGTGCCCTGACTGGGAATCGAACCTCAGTCCTTTGGTTCGCAGGTCCCAGCTCAATCCACTGAGCTACACCAGCCAGGGCAAAAAAATTACATATAATTTTTGATCAAAATTCTAAGTGGCACTGGGATCATCTTCCCACTTTATGCAGTGTTCTGATTCATGTGACCTTGGCTGGCATTTTAAAGATGGAAAAAAGCCGACATTTGAGCAGAAACAAAGAACAAAGGGAATCCTTCCTTTCTTTTTATAAACACGTAGAGGCCACCAGCTACTTCTTCACCTTAGTGTGTGGTCAGCGCCAGCACGGGCCCTTTCAGAAATCGGCTTCAAGGCCACCCTTAGATCTGTCGTTCTAAGAACAGGTCAGTTGTGTTCTAACTTTCCCAGCATGAATGGGAGGAATAGAATTTTAATTTTAAAATTGTACAAAATTAGAAAATTCTAATATGTATGTGTATCTCTTTAGAGTTTTAGTAGTGCAGGAGCGTCTTTAGTAAAACAATATTGCCTTATTCAGCTTTTTTTTTAATGACTTTTGAGACATTCTAAAGCATTTATGTTTATCCTGATAGAACTAGTTGTAGGAATGAGAAAATGCTCGTTTTTAAGAGCATAATCTAACCTAACTTGCAGCGCACTGAGGGTTTGTGTTTGCAATCTCTGTACCGATGAGCGTCACCGAACGAAACCACGGGACAGCTGGCGACGTCTTTCCAAGTTTTGATGTTCTTTTGTTTTCACACAGTTGAATCCCTATGACTATGAAATGGTCGAAATTGTCCTGAAAGTTATCGAAAGAGCTGATGAAAAAATAACCAACATTAATATCAATCAGGTATGACAAGTACACTTTTAATTTCCTTTTTTGTTTTTATTTGGATCTTTAAAAGAATTAGTTGCCCATGTGTCTTTCTGGACTATCCTTTGAACTCCCTTTAAACTCCACATTTTATCCTAGTTCCTTTTCTTTGAAAGGGGTAACACAGGTAAAATGGTTTTTTATGCTCCCCGTATTTTATCATTTATCTTAATCCTTAAGTTTTGCTCTACTGAGGTGATTTACATTGAAGTGTACGAAGTCATTGACAGACTGATGTGGGAAAAGCCAGGCAAAGTTACCTGTCAGCTGGGAGAAATGTGTGTTTCGATCTGTACGTGGTACCCAGACTCGCTTCCGCTTTCTCTGGTAATAGGTGGGCCCAGGACTCAATTTCATTTCAGTGCATTCAGTAACTTCCTGGTTTCTTCTGGATTTTGGTCATAGTAGCTACTATATCTTCTTTTTAAGTCGGATTTTAAAAATTAAAATGGGTTGGTTCAAAAGGTTTTTTGTACAAGCCTGCAAAATACAATCTAGAAACGGAAGTGAAGTGAGGGATGTGGAGGATTGATTGTAGCCCTACTGCCCCCGTATTTAAAGGGAAATGGAGGGTAAAGGGGCCCGAGATGCGGTGACAGAAGGTGGTTGGACTGGGGCGGTCGGCTCGCCGGGCAGTGCACAGTTCAGTATCACAGGAACGTGCGCTTGAAACCTGTACGACCTTATTAACCAAGGTCACCCCAATACATTTCATTAAAGAGCGTTAAAAATAAAATGAAATCAAGCATTTTGGAGCTATCTCTCCAACTACGTGGAGAGAGCACAGTGAACCGCCAGACTCTTGTTTAGGAAACATCCGCCAACAGCGGGCTCCTGTCAGTTCCACCTGCTACAGCTCCTTCCAGGACCTACCAGTTACATGACTTTCAACCTTTTCACGTCCGTGGTACATAAACTAACTCCCAAAACTCGGCAGTGCCCCCCAAAATGTATTAGGTTTTTTGCCCATCTGATGACAAAAATAGGTACAATTTTGATTCATTCACACCAGATGGTTAAGGTTGTGTTGGCTGTTGTCATTTTTTTTTTAACAATCTAAGGGCAAAGAAGTCAGAGCCCCTGACTAAATGGTCAGGGGCTGTGTATTTTTACACTTCTCGTGGCCCCCTGGCTCGTGTGGCTCAGCGGATCAGCCGCCAGCCTGTGGGGTCACTGGGTCAGTTCCCAGGCAGGGCACGTGTCTGTGTTGCAGGCCAGGTCCCCAGCTGGGGGTGGGCAAGAGGCAACACATCAGTGTTTCTCTCCCTCTCTTTCTTCCTCCCTCCCCCTCCCTCTAAAAATAAATAAAACCTTTTTTTTTTAATTCTCACAGCATACCCATTGAAAATTGCTGGTTTAGAAAAATAACACTAAAAGTAAAACTGTAAAAGTTTTGATCATCTGAGACCAGTACTGTCTCAGACATGGAGACCTATGATAGTATAGAGTCAGATGATTTTAAAACACTTAGGATTAATTTAATTTCAGAGGAAACTATCTTTCCGTTTAATACAGGCACTGAGTCTTCTGCAGCATCTGAAGTCGTACAGAAGAATTTCCCCTCCGGTGGACCTGGAGTATCAGTACATGTTGGAGCATGTAATCACTTTGCCATCAGCCGCCCACACGAGGTTGCCCTTCCACCTGATATTTTTTGGCACAGCTCAGAACTTCTGGAAAATTCTCTGTATGTTCTTTAACTTCTTACGGGTTTTACTGAAGAGCCAACATTTTCTTAAGCCAATCACACTGTCCTTGTCTCCCTTCCAGCTATGGAACTCAGTGAGGAGTCCTTCCCGACGCTGCTCTTAATTTCTAAGCTAATGAAGGTGAGCGATGAAAACACTGTCGGGCGCCCTTCATCCTGTGATCAACTCAGATCCCGGGCGGAGGGTGCCATGCTGCTTTCACAGAGAACCCCTGCTGGGGGCACATCCGTCAGCCTCTGCTCTGCTTTTCCCCTCTTCCAAGTTCTCTCTGGACACTCTGTACGTGTCTACAGCCAAGCATGTCTTTGAAAAAAAACTGAAGCCCAAGCTGATGAAGTTACCGCAAGCGAAGTCCTCCACGCTGATTAACAAGGAGATCTACAAGATCACTCAGACCATCGAGTCCTACTTACTGTCCATCGTGAACCCCGAGTGGGCCGTCGCCATCGCCATCAGCCTCGCCCAGGACATCCCGGAAGGTACGAGTCTCCCCTTCACTGCCGCGCACGGGCAGCTGGGCTGCTTTTCTAAACTTGGAGCGCACGCTTTTGTAGCTTTAAGGAGAGCAGCAGGGTAGTTCAAAAAGGCATGCGCCTGCTCTCCTCACTTGTTTGACTGCTGAACGCTGAAATGGCCCACGTCAGGTAGGCCAGTCGCCTTGCCGCTTGCCCAGGGCGTGGGGGCGTGGGCCCCTCCCGGGCAGCGGGAAGGTAAATCGAAGCTTACTTCCCAATGTCGTACTTCCAGTGATGAGCCCTCGGATAGTCTCACGTGATCAAACAGGTACACAAACACAGGCACGCGTTACCGTTGCTTTTGTAAATGTTCGTTGGACAAGAACTGGTTTAAACAATGGAGCATATTCAGAAGGCAGAATACTATGTAGTTGATTTGGAAAGAAGTTCAGGATATACATTAAGTGGGAACAGAAAATGGTACTACATGTGTGATCTCACCCCGACCGGGTTGAAATGTGTGCACGCACAGCAAACTGGGGGAGTTCAAGACTCCAGGGAGCAGGAATAGAAGCTGAAGAACGGGCCTGAGGGTTTACTTTCTAGTTCGTATTTTCTGTCCTGTTTAAATTGCTCTTTACTATGAGTGCGCATTTTTATAATTTAAAAAAAACTTGCTAACTTGACTGAAATACATTGTCTTAAAAGGATTAGGATTTTCTTCTCAATCTCTATCTCTTTAGGCTCCTTCAAGATGTCCAGTTTGAAGTTCTGCCTGTATCTAGCCGAGAGATGGCTGCAGAACATCCCACCGAAGGTGTGTGCCTGCTGGAAGAGGGGGCTCCCCCTCCTGTTCATTTGAAGTGTGCTCACCGGGGATACCTTCTCTTCCTGCCCCATGAGATGCTTCTTCTAGGGTGTGCTAGGGCTGGGTGCCCGAAATGCAGACGGGATGGGTGAGGCCTTTGTGTAGGGCACCTAACAGTGTCGCTGAGGCAGGGCCCTCCCTCGATGGATGAGGATGGATCCTGTGCCTCACTGGAGATTTTGAAAGCAAAAGTTTTTTCTTCGCTTGGCTTTTTTTTTTTTTCCCTTAAGGATGAAGCACGTGATAAAGCCGAGGCTTTGTTGAAGAAGCTTCACATCCAGTACCGGCGATCAGGCACGGAGGCCGTGCTCATCGCCCACAAGCTGAACACGGCCGAGTACTTGAGAGGCATCGGGAAGCCGGCGCATCTCATCGTCAGCCTGTACGAGCATCCCAGCATCAACCAGAGGATCCAGGACCCATCCGGCAAAGACTATCCCGGTGGGCGCCGCGCCCTTGTGACCTTTTGTCCAAAGAGAACTCTCATTTTGATTCCCGGTTATCATGCATCAAGAAGGTGGATTTCCCCTTGTTTAATTCTCTATCTTGACTATCTTAGATATTCACGCAGCCGCTAGAGAAATAGCCGAAGTCAATGAAATCAATTTGGAGAAAGTCTGGGACATGTTGCTGGAAAAATGGCTGTGCCCGCCCACGAAACCTGGCGAAGTGAGTTTGTTCTCACCGGCCTCTCTCCCATCTGTTCTGTCGAGTTGCCTTGACCTCCTGATGCGGAGCCCAGACTCTTCCGAGGGGGAACTTCCGCTCACAGTGTTCCCTGTGTTATTATTATCTGACCAGCGTTAACGACGTTTATGTCTTCTTTTTGCTCAGATGCTGGTTTGCAACGATTTTTACCTTTTGGTTGGTGGTGCTAGGTGAATACACATATAAAAGAAATGACCTCTTCTGACACTCAGATTCATGGGATTTACTTCCTGTCCTGAAGTAGTTTTAAACGTACAGAACTGTTGCAATAGTATAAAAGCAACCCTGTCTCTCCTTCACCAGCTCCATCAGCGTCTAGCATTTTGCTGTATTTGCATAATAGTTCTCTGAACCATTAGAGAATAAAGTGCAATGTCCTGTTCCTTTACCCCTTCACATTTAAGAGTATATTTCCTAAAAACACGGCTTTTCTCTTAACCAGTGTGTAATGATCAAAATCAGATAATTTAGTATTGACGTAATATTGACACAATCCTACATGGACTTGAATCTATGGTCCGTGTTACAGTTTAACCAGTCGTCCTAATGACGTTCTTCACAGCAGTCTGCCCTAGGACCAGGATGAAGTTCAGGATCAGGCACTGCTTTTCATCTATTTAGAACAGTTCCATCACTAATTGTCTTTCTTGACCTTGACATTTTTGAAGAGTACAATCTAGTTATTTTATAAGCCGCCTCTCAATTTGGGTTTCTGTGTTTTCTCATGATGATAAGATTTGAATTACGCATTTTGGGGCAGAGTACTCCGAGTACTAAATGATACAGTGTCCTTCTCAGGACATGGCATTTGGAGGCACAGATGTCTGCCTGCCCTAACGGGAAGTTAATGCAGACAATTTAGCAAGAATGTTGCCGGTTTCTCTACTACATAGTTACTGTTTCCTTTTGTAGCTATGAAGGGGAGATACTTTGAAACGATAACGTTTTGTTTCTCTTCAAACTCCTCTCCCACCCCCACCTCGGACAGGCCCGGGCTGACAGTTCTCACTTGAACCCTTTTAACTCAGATGGACACAGATGTTTTTGAAGGGTGCAGGCTGGTTGGTTTGTAAAATGTTTCCTTGTGGGTTTGCTGATGTTTCTCATGATTTCATTTGGGTTCTGTATCCTTGGCAAGAATACTATATAGGTAACGTGTTCTCCTCAGTGTGTCCTGTCGGGGTACGCAATGTCAACACGTAATGTCAGTGTTCTAGAAACAATGGCATTAAATCTAAACTTAAGGGGGATTTAGCCATCCAAGTGCGGGGGCTTTCAGGCAGCACTTCATTCGGGTGATTCTGTAATTCCTCGGTCCATCTAGGCGGACATCCCTGGGAAAAATCTACCTGTAAGCAAATTGTGTAACCAACATAATGTTAGGCTTTTAATTAGTAGTATTTCTGTCCCTTGGCATTCAATCTCACAAGTATTTTTTTTTAATTTATTTTTCGAGAGAGGGGAAGGGAAGGAGAAAGAGTAGGAGAGAAATATCAATGTATGGTTGCCTCTCATGCGTCCCCTGCCGGGAACTGGCCTGCAACCCAGGCATGTGCCCTGGCTGGGAATCAAACCGCGATACTCTGGTTCGCAGGCCCGCGCTCAATCCACTGAGCTACGCCAGCCAGGGCTCACAAGTATTTTTTAAAGTATTTACCAGGAGCCAGACCCGAGCTTCAGTGGAAATGGGGGTGATAGAAGCACATCCGGGCCATTCAGAACTCGCGGTTGACTCAGAAACCGGAATGTTTTAACCTGCGCATTTGGAGTACAAAACTGAAAGTCCTTCGAGGCTGGGAACTTTGTGCATAGCACCTAAAACACTGCTTTGTACATTCCAATAAAAATATACCGAATTAACGAATGACTCATTTAATGTTCGCAGAGCCCTTTTCTTTAAAAAATTGCCCAATGGGTGTAAGCTTCGGGAGGACAGGATTACTCACTTTGTTTACTCAGCAACCGTGTGCCTGCATTCGCTCCTGGTGCACAGCGAGTGCTCAGCAAATACTGTGTTTGTTGACCGAACGAACGTTAGCGAACCCATTTCCTAAGCAAAATTTTTACAGTAATGAGTTGTACTGCAATTTCTTATATATAAACATAATTCTTTATGCTGGGTTTTCTCATCTAATAGATTTTCATAAGTTTGCCTACTTTAACAAATTTTATCGAGTTTTGACTTTATTTTTTTTCCTTTTTTTTTTTTAAGAACCCATCAGAAATATTTGAACTTGAAGAAGATGAAGCGCTACGGAGGTACTTTTTCATTACTTACATTTGTCCTTATCCCGCTGTCTGGTAGGAATCTTAACTAATAGATTTGTCAGAGGTTAGCTTTGAAAATACTTTCTTGATATCATTTGGATCGAAGTCTGAGAAGAGTTGGTTCATTGGCACGTGGCTGTGAGTGGGGATGAGTGTCTCCAGGGGAATCAATAAGAAGCAGCCAAGGTTCAGAATTTCTGAACCCTCAGTGCGTTCCTACTGAAGTTCAGGCCTCCTAGAACACCTTCAGCAGAGAATGCACTTCAAACAAAGGGAAGCTCTCTCGTTAGCGAAGACCTTGGCCCTAGGCCCCTTTGTTCTCTCGCCCTGGGCAGCTGGGCTGAGACCGCAGAAGGCAGGTCGGTTTCATCTAATGTGCTGAGTCTGATCAGCCATGACTCACTCTCAGGAGAAGACTGTCTGGCCCCAAATTGAAACCAGTGTGGTACTCCGTCCCGGATGCTCGGCCCAGGCCCGGAGGAGTGGCGACCCCACAGGCCTGTCTCTCCCGTCCCCGGTCTCAGCCACAAGTAGGGCCTCAAGTGGAGCCCTGCACGGTCCTGGGAGTCAGAGAGAGGGAATGGAAAGATAAACCCAAAAAAGGCTTTGTCTTTGGACAGCGCTGGCCTGCCACCCCCTCCGTGACCTCCTTTCCTCCGGACTCACCTTGTCCTTGCATAGTCTTGTAAGCACCTCAGCTAAGCAAGAGGTAGCCCCTGGAGTGTCCAGCTGCATCAGCCGCCCGGGAAGACTTAGAGGGAAACAATTCAGAGAAAGAGAGAGGGAGAGAGGAAATCCCAGAGGGGTTTTTCCTTCAGGCCAATTTCGTCCCTTCCAGCCTTTTCCCCCTGAAAGCTCCACCCCCCTCTACCCCCCAGGGCACCTGCTCTGGCTTTCTCAGGAGGGAGCCATTCAGGCCCAAGTCTGCAGGTTGACATGTGCGGTGGATGATGCCCCGTGAACTAGAACAGCATCGTCCATGCATAGTGTTCAGTGGGCGGTGCAGCTGTGGTTCGCATTGGCTTCTTACACAGAGAGAATGTACCCGATCAAAGATCGGCCAGCTGTCTTACCGGCGAGAAGACTGTATCTGTTGTGTTTGTTACGGTCTTTAGATAAAGGGGAAAGCAAACACGTCCTTGACCTGTAACCCTTCAGGGCTGCGTTTACTTTCTCTTGACAGTAAAACAGGTCTGTTGTTTCAATGAATTACAATCTAATGTGATTAAAAACTTTTCTTCAGAGTCCTGTACCTGCTCCTGTCTCGTCCCATTGATTATAGCTCCAGAATGCTGTTTATATTTGCCACATCAGCCACCACCGTAAGTCCTGGGCGCACAGTCAAAACTCAGGTCTGCATCTCAGCTCCTTTTTCTCCTGCGTGTTTGCCGCGCCGGAGCTCATTAACAGATGGCTAGGACGATGCTCGCTTCCACCCTCCTTCAAAGCACAGCTATTTCTCCCTAACATCTTCCGCCCCCACTCTGTGCCAGCTTCCATAACAGACTGAATGGCGTGCCTGCTGGCGGTTCCCACAGGTGGTCTGCATCCACAGCTGCGGACTCCCTGGTTAGTCGGCATTCCCAGTAGCAAGGGGCCAAACCAGCTGGCCGGACACCCTGGCCTGATGGCCCTGCGTGCCCGGGCTTCCCCGTCCAGTCACACACCACTGGACTCGAGCTGGACTGAACGATCCCTTTTCCCTTCCCAAGAGACCACGTGGCCTCTTTGCCTTCGGGCGTTTGCCCCTGGAAATGCTCTGAGGCGGCAGGAACCCGGGGGAGGAGGGCACAGGGAGGAGGAAGAAAGGGGGGAAGTCCGAGATGCTGATGGTGTGTCCTCCATAGCAAGGGGGACACCCCCCCTTCTTCACGCACGTCACACTTTCCACGTCACACTTTCTCACAGAACAGTAAAGAGGACGTCCTAACTAACGTGAGTGTGTATTCAGCTGTGAACTCTTGGGAGACTATTCAGGAGTTGAGGTTTAGTGAGATTAATTTCTACTGCTTTAAGCACCTTAAGTCGTGGTTTGTTTCCAGCACCGTGGAGGCGGGGCTCTGCAGGACACGGTGCTGCCCCCACCGCTGGCTGCCCCGGCCTCGCCTCCAGCTGCAGCCGTGTTAGGGAAGTGTGTTGTCCGGTCCCTCCTGGTGGAGTTGAACGCTCTGCAGGGTTCCCAGGGTCGTGCTTCGCCGAACACTGCTTCCCTCAGAGCAGAGGGTGCCTTTAGTTCAAAAAACAAGACATGTTGCTTTTGTTGCTGGCGCCCGAGCGTGCAGCTGCCCCGACCTCTCGTGCTTTTGCAGACGCTGAGCACGCACCAGCTGAGCTTTGCCCACCGGACGCGGGCCCTGCAGTGTCTCCTCTACTTGGCTGACAAGGAAACGATAGAGTCGCTCTTCAAAAAGCCCATCGGAGAAGTGAAGTGAGTGGAAGGCTGTACGCTGTGAGCAAGAGGCCATCGTTGGGGGTGTAACACAGAGGGCCCCGGGTCAGGCATGGGTCCGAGTGGCGGTGGACACGGAGCCTCGAGTGTCCCCGCATTTTACAATGTCTTGTTTCCCTCGTTCCTCTGAGACACTTAAAAACGGAATGTCTTCTTTATCTTTCTAATATTCTGTGAATATGTTTAGAAGCCTCAATTGGCATTTAAAACAAACAGGCCTAATTTACTCATATGGTGGCTTTCATTTTCAGTGTGAACATGGCCTGTGAGAGTGTTTTCCATAAATGCCTCTGTTTTTTCCAGATCTTACTTGAAATGCATAACTTTCCTGGCGTCGTTTGAGACTTTGAATATCCCCATCACGTATGAGCTGTTTTGCAACAGCCCCAAAGAAGGCATGGTCAAGGGCCTGTGGAAAAACCACAGCCACGAGTCCATGGTACGTGCGCCGGGCCCCCAGTGGCGGGGCAGCCGTCCGCCCGGCCCTGAGCACCCGCCGGGAGACAGGCCCAGAGAAACCCCTGATTCCTGAGAAAGCTGCTGCTGTGAGAGACCTCTGCCTCCTTCCTGTCCCGGCAGGTGACGGGGCAACTCGGAGTCCCCTTCCCTCTCTTCCTCGGGGCCTGAGGCCGTCCCTACCAAGGAGAGAGCACGTTGACCATCCTTCCCCAGGCCTGTCTGTCCTCAGCGGGACCAGGGAAGAGACGCCCTGTGTTCCCAGGGGCGGAGTTTCGCTGCCCCTGGTTGTTCGTGGGAATTTAGTCTCTGAGGCAGCTGGAGCCCAGAGCAGGGACGATGCAGGGCCAAGGGGCGGGCTGTTCTTGGGGGGGGGGGGGGGGACGAGGTGCTGTTCTCGAGTTTACGAAAACAGTTTTAAAAAGGATAATCTAAAAATAAGTATAATAAAAATAAAAGGATCATCTGCATCTCCTTTTTCCCTTTCCATTAGAGAGATGAGGCCTTCAGTGCATTTAGGCAATAGGCACAACTAGCTTATCAATCGGCACACTTTGTACTCAGCTGCCCCACCTTTTCCACAAGCAGAACGATTTCCCTTCCGCTTTAGGCAGTGAGACTGGTGACTGAGCTGTGCTTAGAATACAAGATCTACGACCTGCAGCTGTGGAACGGGCTCCTGCAGAAGCTTCTCGGCTTCCACATGGTGAGGCTGGGCGCCTGGACTGTGGGGAGGGGTGTTTCTCCTGTCCCTGGAGACCGCGGTGTGTGTCAGCGCCTTGGTCCAGCCCCTCCTGCACCCCGCGCTGGCCCTGGTGCGGAACAGATGCGTGCTGAAAACGGCCACTCTCACTGGGTTCAGGCCACACTTAAAGAGCTCGGAGTTGAGCCAGGGAAACTGCAAAGTCAAGGCTGACGTAAATGTCACGGGAAGCAGATGGAAGTTTCCCTGGCCTCCTTTGATATTCGCGACTTTGTAAGGGAGCTGGCCCGGCGGTTCTCAGGGGAGATGAACTTGACTGATAACCCTTCTGAAAGAATTCGCTATGTCATGTGGAAACTTTCTGTTCTGGCCATCTTAGGAATGTTTTTCTTTTCTTTATTTTTTCACAGATTCCTTATCTACGGAAAGTCTTAACAGCCATTTCTAGTATCCATTCTTTATGGCAGGTATGTAGTTTTGTTTTTGCTTCTTTTATGTAAGTTTTATAGAATTTAATCTTTATGCACAACTGGCCTGTGACCGCTGGGCGCGCTGGTTAGGAGCCGGCTCCTCAGGGGAGAGCAGGGCTGGTCTGTGAGAGGCTGGCGTCCAGGGACAGCAGGGTCCCCACGGTGAAACCGCGCACTCTCCCCAGCTCCGCAGGCCTCGTGCGCCTCGTCCTCACTTACACTCACACATGCTGACCAGCTCCGGAGTGTGTCACGGCACAGACTATCTGGACGACACCTTCCGAGGCCACTCCCACCTTTTCTGAAGGCCGTGTGTCACCGTCACTGTGGAGATATGCGATGTGTTGGTGTCCTGGGGCTCGCTCCCCGGCAGCACACACAGCTCTCCCTCATTTTTTCAAATTAAGACATAATTCACATGTAAAACTCACCTGTGCAAAATGTACAGTTAATCCTGTGGTTTCAGCATATTTGCAACCATCACCACTGTCTCAGTCTAGAACATTCTCCTCGCCCCAAAAAGAAGCTCCGTGTCCACTCGCACTCACTGTCCCCTCCCCCCGCCTCTCCCAGCCCCCGGCTCCCACTCGTTCACGTTCCGTCTCTGTGGGTTTCTCTACGATACGTGGCCCTTTGCGTCTGGGTCTCCCACTCACCGTACACGCTGTTCTCGAGGTTCGGCCGCGCTACACAGCGCGTCCGTGCATCCTTCCCTTTGGTTGCTGAACAACACTCCGCTGTGTGGCTGCACCAGACTGCATTTATCTGCTTGTCAGCGGACGGCGTTTAAGTGACTTGTGACGTGTGGTTACTGTGAGCAATGCTGCTGTGAACACTGCTGTGCAGGTTTCTGTGTGAATAAGTGTTTTGTTCGGCTGTACAGCTGCCGGTGGAATGGTAGGGTCTTACCATGACTATGTTTGCCCTTTGGAGGTGGTAGCTCTTTATCTGTAACTCTTCGTTATTCTCCATAGTGTGGGGTAAAATGCACTGTAACTTAGTCGCCCACCCGCCTGCTGATGGAGGTTTACGTGGTTTCCTTATTCCTCTGAGACGTTTTCCCTTGTGCCCTTGCCCCTTTGGCCCAAAGCAGAACGAGTATGAGTTATATTTTCCCGGTTGGGTTCCGATACGTGCCCCGAGAAAACAGCACTGAATCGGCCGGGGTTGTATGTAATGATGCCGTGAAATGCAGTCATGGAGAAAAGTGTCCTAGAACTGCATCCCTAGGCTCAGAGGTGCTGTCTGTACTTTCCTTTGAGCATCCAGCATCCGAGCTCTGGGAGCGCGGTCGGCGACTGGGAGGTAAGGAGTCCCTGCCGCCCCGGCATGAACTCTGCGATCCGCTTGTCCCCACAGGTCCCCTACTTCAGCAAGGCCTGGCAGCGGGTGGTTCAGATGCCACTACTCGCAGGTACCGCCCTCTCCCCGCGACGGCGACGGCAGCGTGCCACGCCGAGCGTGCGGGTGTGCATTCTTGTTGCTTCTCCTTTTCAGCCTCCTGCCCTCTGAGCCCCAGCCAGCAATCGGATTGTTGTGAGAGCCTCATTGCCATTCTAGAGTAAGTAAAAAATCTGTTTTCTCACCCCCCAAAATCCAATGCATTGCTTATAAAATTCCTTTTTAATAACGACATCTCATAATTGCTTTTTCTTGGGAAGGTTAGGGTACTGCTCGTTTGCAAAACACAGTATCTGTTGTTCTTACCCCGTCTGCTTCCTGTGTGTGGTACAACTCATACATTGATGCTCAGTTGTCCCCAAACTCAACGTGAGAAAAGGCACCTCTATGACTGCCCAAGTGCTGCTGGGTGTTCCGGAGATTTTGAGTCCCCTGAGAGTTTGTCCTCAGGCACATGGAGCTTTCCGACGCGGTCCCAGCAGCAGCTGCTCCTGCAGGCTGATGCAGTCGCTGCCGGAAAACGCCGTGACGGACGGGTTCCTTGTTGCTAAGCATAGATTATGCATCAGACGCTTAACATCTGAAACTGGGAAGCGTAGGCAGGCAGCAACTGCAGGACGCTAGAAATGAGAGGCCCTGACCGTGCCATTGGAGACTGACTAACGCGCCCTCTGGGAGGTGTCCGGTTTCAGGTGACCTCGACATGGTTGGCGTTGCCCGGCAGTATGTCCAGCTGGAGCTCCCTGCCTTTGCCCTGGCCTGCCTCATGCTCATGCCCCACTCGGAAAAAAGACACCAGCAAATCAAGGTATCTTGGGAATTATTCCTCCGCGGCTGCCAAAGAAACGGACAGTCTCCCCTCGCATGTCCCCTGCAAAAGAAAAGGTTGCCTTGTCTTCTCTCCACACCTGTAAAGTGGTGCATCAGTGCGAGCCAGGCGGAAGGGCTGTGTGTCTCGTCCAGTCTGTGCACAGTGACCGGGGGCGGGGTAGGCCAGGAGAGCTTGAGGGGGCCGGTCCCCAAAGCAGCGTCGCAGCGGTGAGGGAAAGTGAACTAGATGGAGAAGAGCGGGAGGAAGGCGCCTCGCTCGCTGATTGGAGGTGGGAGGTCGAAGAGCCAGGGACAGTCAGGTTTCGCATATGGCGCCACCGAGGGAGCCACAGCCGTTTCGGGGACAGAATTTTAAAGGTGACGCTCACCCCCTCGGTAACACGAATGAGTAGGGCGGAGCGTTCGGGGGCATCACAGCTGTTCCCCCGAAGGCCATAAGCCGGTGGGCAGAGGTCGGCGGAGGTCGGCGTGAGTGAACACACGTTTTCCCTGGGCATTCACTCTGTTCTACTCATTTCGTTTTCTTCGGAGCCGTCTGTGCTCATCATGGACTCGGTTCCTTTCTGGCCATTCGCAGACTCATCCGTGGCTGCTTTTCAAAGTTTCAGAATTGAAATAGATTCCTTTTGGCACTCAGAATGACAGAATGCTTGTTAAATAGTTCTTGCTGTTGGGATGGGTATTTGTAAAACGCTTTGTTGCTTATTTCAATCATTTTCTGTTGAAAGAAGTATTTTTCCCTGTAAAAGAAATTTGTCAAGATATTTCTAATTTAAAAATGAAAACCTGCCCTGAGCAGGTAGTTAGTTCATTTGGTTAGAGTGTCATCCTGATACACCAGGGTTGTGTGTTCGGTCCCCAGTCAGGGCGCCCGCAAGAATGAACCAGTGAGTGCACAACTAAGTGCAACAACAAAAATCTCTCTGTGTGTCTTTCTTTCTTTGTCTCTCCCCCGCCCCCAAAATCAGTTTTAAAAAAAGAGAAAAAAGCTTACATATTTGACAGAAATTAGTAGTAATTATACTTTTTTGTTAATTATGTTTTGACTTTTTCTCTAGAACTTTCTGAGCTCGTGCGATCCTCAGATCATTTTACAGCAATTGGAAGAGCATATGAGCGCCGGCCAGTTGGCAGGATTTTCCCATCAGGTAAGAGAAAATGGCATTTCCTTTTTGCTATGAAAAATTAGATATTAGAGGCAATCATTTTCCCCAAACCGAGACAAAGCAGAAAATTACCATCTCACTCTGTTGGTTAATATAAAGTCCCAAAGTGCTCACCGGCCATTCCTTTTACTTACTTGCCGTGCGGGGTTCTGCAGGGGGGCCCCAGCAGCCCCCTCGGAAAGGACGCTTAGTTACAACGCGGTGATCATCGAACTCCAGACCGTCATACATGTTTTGGTATTGAACTGGACTTGGCACTTAACACACTTTTAATATGATGATACCTGCCACTCTGTAGATTCGAAACCTGATTCTGAATAATATCATAAATAAGAAGGAGTTTGGGATTTTGGCAAAGACAAAATACTTTGACGTGTTGAAACGGCACACGATGAATACCAACAGCATCACTGACCTAGTAAACTATCTGGCAAATGAACTAAGGTAAGTGAATTAAGGGGGGGGGGGGGACTTTAAAAAAACTTGCTATAGAATTTCCTTAAAATTTATCTTTATTTTGGAGGAAATATCAAACAATTACAGAGCTGTTTGTTTGTAATTAAAGGCTCAGAGTGTTCGGCTCTAGCAACACTGCTCATACCCCGGAGGTTGCTTGTCTTCTAACCCAGTCCCTTGGAACATAAACTGAAAATCAGACGATTATACAAGCTGTCTGAACCCCCCAAATAGGTGTCTTCCAGTTCGGCTCTAAACCCCACATTACAGCTTTACTTCTGGAGCACTTGCTCCGAGAATCAGTAGCTTTATGTAACATAATTTTTGCTGAGCTTGGTTATCTAATTTTCCAGCAGCCACAAGTTTGGAAACAGCAAGCTCCTTGGTGCAGGGTCAGGAGCAGACTGGGAAAGTAACGGGGAGAGAGAAGCACTGGGTGGCCCCGAGGAAAGGGAGAGGGCTGGAGGTTCCCTGGGCCTGTCCCTGCGTTTGTCTCGCTGTGCTGGTCACGGGGGAGCTATTCCTTCCGTTACCACCGTGGGTTTCTTTCCGCTTGCTCATCTCGGTGACCGAGCCATGGTGCATCTTGTCGTTTGTGAACGAGTGCTCTTTTTTGAGCCACAGTCTCCACAGGACAAGCAGCACACGCCCAGGAATGATGCCTGGTGGGTTCGTCTTTGCCTGAGATACCGTCGCCACGGTCAAGGGAGCGAGCACAGTTGTCACCCCCGGAGTTTCCTCACGCCCTTCTTTTTCTTCCCGGTGCTCCAGTCTAGATGAAGCCTCCATCTTTGTAGCCGAGTTCCTAAAGCACCATGGGAACCCTGTGCCACCAGACGCCGCTCCCTGTGAGATTCTGAAGGTAAAGCAGCCACAGTTCCCTGGACTCGAGCCTGACGCCGTTTGCACTTCTAGGGTCTGGAAATTGAGCTGGCTTGTGCTGGAGATCAGTGTATTTTTGCCTGTGCCCATGTGTGTTTTTATAATTTACTTTCCGTATAAGAGAGTCCTGGGTGAGAAATGAAGAGGCCATGGTTGTCCTCCAAGCCCCGCGCCCAGTGGCCGTGTGGCCCCTGGCCAGTCGCTGACCCCGGGTCAACTGTGGTCTTCACAGCTGAGTCTCGAAAGGCACGAGTTAGTGTTGTGCCTGAGTATTGAGTGCTCCTACTGCTCACTTTCTGGTTCCCTAAGACATCACTGTTCCCTGTGGGAAAGAGAAATTTGCAACAGCAACAGAACAGATATCCTAATCTGGAATCTCACTTCCCAGACTCAGCGTCACTGTTAACATTTCAGTGTCTTTCGTTCCAAACATTGTCGTGTATAAAGTAGGCATATAAATTACTTTTACTCCTATCTTGAATTTAACCATAAAGTAAACGGTTTTACTCTGATCATGACCAGGAGCCTTAGTAAACCTAGGTATTGTGCGGGTTTCCCCCTGTGGTCTGAAACAGACATTAAAAAAAGCCCACATTTTGTCAGCTGTCACTAGTAACGTCCAGTGTTCACATCTGGTCTTTCGGGCTCAGTGGCATAAGATCACTTTTTCTCAAAAAGGGAGAATATTGATTCAGAGGTGAATTTGTGACCCTTAACATTGTTTCCCTCCAGCCATACGTATCTAAAATACCGAAGAACGTTAGGTGTGGATTTTCAGTAATACACGTCAACCTTAAGCTCTGTAGTTCACCTGAGCGTTTTCTGTTTTTAAAAGCCAATACCACTCATAAAAATACTTCTGTGTTTTTCCCCACGTAGATGTTTCTGAGCGGATCATAGCAAATCATCGAGCCTTCCTCGGGAAGAACAAGAGGAGGTTGGGAGCCTGCTGAGATCCGACCGTATTTATTGTGGATTTAACATTGTGCGACCGACGTGTTAAAAGCTGTCGTCAGCTAGTACCTGACAAGTGATGGCTAAGACATTGGTTGGCCCATAAAGAACTCACACCCTGAATTAATAAATCTTTTCTTTGCTAGTTATTTGTATAACTTACAGACACTATCAACTTTTGCACCATATATGAAGAAAATCAAATGCAAAAATATTTTGCTCCTCCCCTCAGAAGAAAAGCAGCTACTTACCGCCTATTTCTTCCACATATAAGAATAAGAATATTCATCTTCTTAATGCTTCTCTAGTAAACACCTGTGTGACTTTGGGGGCCGAGTACATCGGGCAGTGGCCAGCCAGAAAAATAGGAAACGCTCTAGATAATATTCAAGTGGAGCAGGATTGAATGCCAGAATTGTTTACAAAGGTGTAACTGAAAGGCAAAAGGCAGATGGAGGGGGGCCGCTTGCGAGGCTCATAAGATCAGGGAGCTGCTCCCTCCTGCCCCTGGGTTGGAGCCTGGAGCCCCGTCTGCCGCTCAGCTGCTGGTGGACCCCGGGCTCCTGCTCGGGCCTCCCTCAGGCCTTCTCCGCCGTTGCCGCTTCTGCCAGGCCACCAGCAAGAGAAAAGTGGCTCTTCGCTTTCTCCAACCTCTAATTCTCACGCCACTGCCAACAAGGGACAGAACCAGTGGGAAGCCCTCCAGCCGGAGTCTGGGCCGCGCCCCGTGCAGGCTGCAGGCCTGGGACTCGGGGGCCGGCCTGCCAGGGCAGGGTGGCGGGGAGAGCCCCCAGCTGCTCCCGGGCACAAAGGTGATCGGAGCTCTGACTCCACCTGCCTACTCTCTTGCTATACTTGTGAAAAACTCCATGATACTAGAATTACTTTGTTTTTCCAGTTGAGAATATATTATTTCTATACTAGCATTGTTATTTAAAACATGGGCTTTGGAATAAAATAAGTCGGATGTGAATTACGGCTTCATCCGGTATGAGCTGTGTGCCCCTGGGCAGGTTACAGAATTTCTCGAAGCCTGAGTCCCCCCGTTTGTAACACCTAGTAGCTGGAGATTCAAAGGGTCGTTCACTTGCCGTCTGACTGGTGTCTACAGACAACACCAATATTTTTCACAAAGCTTCTCCCACATTTGCAATTATTTCCTTAAGACACGGTCCCAAGAACAGAGTGACCAGATCAAAGGGAATGAAGAACACTATTTCTGGAGAGAAAAGAGGGAGAGAAACATCAATGTGAGAGAAAAATTGATCAGTTGCTTCTCATATGCCCCTGACGGGACCGAACCTGCAACCCAGGCATGAGCCCTGACCAGGAATCAAACCAGCGGCCTTTTCCTGCTCGGAGGGTTGACCCCCAACCCACTGAGTAACCCCGGCCAAGCCCTGACGAGCACTTAAGGCTCTATGTGCAAAAGGCCAAGCTGCATGCGTTTCAAGAGGCAGGTGTCCATTCCTACCACAGATGAATCTGCCTTCTTGCCTCCTCTAATGCCGGGCCATCTTACTTGCAGGAACTTCTTGCCAATTCAATAGGTGAAAATGGTATCTCACCACTGAAGCTTGTGTTTCTTTGACATTCATGTGATCGAACCTCAAGAAAACTAATCACGAGGCTGACCGTGCGAGCAGAGCTGTAATTGTGCTCACGGGCGTGAGCGTGCAAGGTCTGGGAGGGTCACGGGGTGGCAGTAGAAGGCAACAAATGGGTCAGACACCGTGCGGAGGGGACTGCAGCAGGAGCTGCCCTCCCCAGTCTTCACCCGGGTGTCCTTGGTCAGAACACAGTTCTGACGTGGACAGGATTAGCTGCAGGTATGCCAGAGAAGTAATTTTTTATTGTTTTTTAAATTTGACCACCTTTTAAAGATGTTATTTATTTCATCTCTACAGAGAAGGAGAAGGGAGGGAGAAACACCAATGTGTGATTTCCTCTCCCAAACCCTTTACCAGGAACCTGGCCCATGCAACCCAGGCATGTGCCCTGACTGGGGATCGAACCAGCGACCCTTTGGTTTCCAGGCAGGCACTCAGTCCACTGAGGCGCACCAGCCAGGGCAAGAAGTAACATTTTTTTATGTGCCCCTGGCATGAACCCGCTCTGGCCGCCAATGCAGACAACAAGTGAGGATGAGCTAAAGACTGCACAACTGCTTTGCCCCTGAACCACCAATCAGGTGTGTCCTCGCCCATTGCCAGGGGGTATAACTTTTTTTTTATCAATAAGATTTTTTTTTATCTTATTGATTATGCCATTACAGTTCTATTTCCCCCCTTCATTCCCCTCCACCCTGCACACCCTTCCCCCACATCCCCCCTTTAGTTCATGAACATGTCTCTCAAGTTCTTTAGATTCTATATTTCCCCTACTATTCTTGCCCTCCTGCCTATTTTCTACCTACCATCTATGCTACTTACTTTCTGTACCTTCTCCCCCCTTCTCCTTCTCCCACTCCCCTGTTGCTAACCCTCCTTGAGATCTTCATTTCTATGGTTCACTCCTGATCTAGCTGTCCTCTTAGTTTGCTTTTGTTTTAGGTGTGGTTCTTAATAACTGTGAGTTTACTGTCCTTTCACTGTTCATCTTTTTTATCTCCTTTTTCTTAGGTAAGTCCCTTTAGCATTTCATACAATAAGGGCTTGGTGAGGATGAACTCCTTGAATTTGGTCTTATCTGAGAAGCACTTTATCTGTCCTTCCATTCTAAATGAAAGTTTTGCTGGATAGAGCAATCTTGGTTGTTTTGTAGGTCTTTGGTTTTCATGACTTGGAATACCTCTTTCCAGCCCCTTCTTGCCTGTAAGGTCTCTTGAGAAATCTGCTGACAGTCTGATGGGAACTCCTTGGTAGGTGACTGTCCCCTTATCTCTTGCTGCTTCTAGGATTCTCTCCTTCATTTTAATCTTGGCTAATGTAATGATGATGTGCCTTGGTGTGTTTCTTCTTGGGTCCAACTTCTTTGGGACTGAGCTTCCTGGATTTCCTGGAAGTCTATTTCCTTTGCCAGAATGGGGAAGTTCTCTTTCATTATTTGTTCAAATAAGGTTTCCACTTATGGCTGTTCCTCTTCCCCTTCTGGTATCCCTATAAATCAGATGTTGCAGCGTTTAAAGATGTCCTGGAGGTTCCTAAGCCTCTCCTCATTTTTTTTTTTTTTGAATTCTTGTTTCTTCATCCTTTTCTGTTTGGTCGTTTTTTTTTCTTCCTTCTGGTCTACTCCTTTGATTTGAGTCCGAGTTTCCTTTCCATTACAATTGGTTTCCTGTGCATTTCCCTTCATTTCAGTTAGTTTAGCCTTCATATGTTCCTCTAATTTGTGACTAAAATCAACCAGTTCTGTGAGAATCCTGATCACCAGTGTTTTGAACTGTGCACCTGAAAGTTTGGCTATTTCTTCATCACTTAGATTTATTGGCTCTGGGGCTCTGAGTTGTTCTTGAGCCATGTTTTGATCTGTTCGTGCCTGTTACGTATGAGGGGCGGAGCCTTAGTTGTTCACCGGGGTGGGGCCACCCAGGTCGCTGTTTTGTGACACTGTATGCAGGGGTGGGGTCAGAGAGGGAGCAATGGCGGTCCTCTCTGCTTGCCCAAACCCCCTCATCGCTTGCCCGCACCTGTTCATCTGAGTGCAAATGTGTGAGCCTGCCGCCCTGCACCGGGGCCTGCGTGGTCTGTCTCAATGCACGTCTCTGCACTGGTTATCTGTGTGCAACTGCACAACCTCAGACAGCCAGCCGCACCGCACCTTCCGTAGCTACCCCGCACCTGGGATCCCCACCCTCAGCTGCTTGCGCACCTCCTGCCCGAGTCAGGGGATCGTTTTTGCCCCACCTGCTCCGCTGCTGGTTTCGCCCCTCTCACCGGTTTAGCTGAGCGGTTATTGTTTTCGGACTCTGTATTTTTTGATTTTCTGTGGTTTAGTTGCATTTATTGTTGTTAAAACTTTGTTGTTTTCAGATTTGGTTGTGTGAGGATGAAAAGTGTTCCCACCTACGCCTCCATCTTGGTGGAAGTCCTTGAAAAGTAAATATAATTGAATTTATTTTAAGGTTTACATTCACATATACCACTAGCCAGGTTTCTTGTTACATTTGTTACCTTTTTTATTAGCCTTACATCATTTTTTAAAATTACTCTCCACTCTTGTCTCCATACTGTTGCCTAAATAGATTCTTAAAACATAAGCCAAATATCTTCAACACCAGGCCTCACGCTTTTCACTGGCTCCCCCTCTCGCCTGCTGTGAAACCCGACTGGCCAAGTGAGACTCATCCGCCCCTTTGTTCAAACCAGACCCAGGGACACACTCTAGGAAGAGGAGTTATAAAAAGGCTCTCGGTGGACCTACAAAAAGGCTCGCCCTGTGGGTGGTCTCATCTTTAAAACGCACTGTGTTTGGAAGCTGGTCCCGCCACAACTCCATGCCACCTGCCCATTCAGAATGTCCTGCATGATGCGGCCCCACCTCTGCCTCCCACTGCCCCTTCCCCTGACCAGCCTGCCCCGCCCCATCCCTCCACAGGTGCTTGGTTGCCACCCACAGGGACTTGCTGTGACATTGACATTGACTTTGTTCTCAGTGCAACCCAGAGTTACCTTTGCAGACTTGTGTGTGTCAACTGTCTCACTCTACATCATTTTGCTGTCAGTTCCCAGGCCACCGGCCTCACCTAGCAGACTCTTAACAAGTAACCATGAGACGTGAATTTTGACTACCTGTGATCAGGGTGGAATTTTCTCCTTGAATGTTTCATGACCACATGAGCACATGACAGCACCTCCTTACACAGAGAAAAACGGGGAAGTCAGCAGCAGCTCGGTGAGAAAGGCCCTGTGTTTCATTTTCATGACTCACACGCATTCTTGCACCATCTCCCGTTTAGAATGATGCGGCTGGATTTCTAGTTGACAATTGGAGGAGAGAATTTTATTAGTAGGATGAGGTCCTTCCGCATCCTACAGATGGAAAAGCTGACGAGACCGGGGATATCCGGTTCTCCCGGGCCCAGGGATTCTCCGGGGCCCAGAGATTTGGAAACCATATTTATTGTAAACACCACATTGGCTCCCTCCCTTGGGTAGTTTTTGACACTGGTGTTTTGGGTTTTTTGTTTTTGTTTTTGTATTTTTT